TGCACACTGAGGAAGCCACGGGCCGGTAGCTTCCCGGGAGACCAGCACTGCAGACCTGCGGCTCAGACCCTCAGTACCCCCAACGCGGGATGCCAGACAATGCTCCACGTTAAAGGCCCATCAGGGCAGACCACCAGGGTCTTGAAGCAAAGCTTTGTCTTCTTCTGCTAATAACTCAGTTTCCATTAGAGAAACCCCAGACTTATGCCTGGATCCTGGCGGAGCCCAGACGCCTGCCCAAGCAAGCCACACACAACCCACACGGTGCATCCTGCATGGGGTGCTGCCTGACCACCATGACGCGAGGACAGGCGGGCACAGTGGGACCTGTCGCCCGAAGTGCTACGTATGTGAGGTGTGATGGAAACACATGTATCTGGTCTTCGCTGTTGGTTCCTGGCTCCTGAAACCCTTGGAGTTTCCTGATAGGAGCATCCTCTTGTTATAATGATTCCCCCTTGACCATACCGGAGTTTTTCACTCAGTGGACGCACAGCGGGGTCCCCAGAGAACTTCGGGATGGGGGCTGGCTATTGACTTCGATCATGTGGCAAATAATCACGACTACATCATGAAGCCCTGATACAATCCTGAGCAAGGTTTGGGGGTCTTCCGGGTCGGTGAACCCCCTGCTGTGCTAAGCGGGTGGCACACCTGCAGAGGGCAGACAAGCTCTGTGCTCTGCCCCCCAAGCCTGTCCTGTGCATCGCTTCCACTCAGCAGCTCCCGAGCTGTGTCCTCCATACCAAACCAGTAACAGTAACACACAGCACTTCGGTTCTAGGCAATCCCCAAACCTGCAGGGAGAGGTTGTGGAAACACCCGTATTTGTAGTTGGCCAGGCACAGGGCCCCCACTTATGGCTAGTGTCTAAGGTGGGGCAGTCTGTGGGACTGAGTCATGCCAACTCCAGGTAGTGTCAGAACTGAACGGACTCACTCAGCTATGCGGGAGACGTGCTAAAAATGGACAGGACACAAGATTCGAGTGGGTCAGGTATACGAAAGTCAACTGCATGAAATTTCTCCTGCTCAGTTGTCCCCGTGTATCTCTCCAATTGTGTCGGACATGGATTTGCTTTTCCTGCCCAAAGTTCATTTGTGGACCTCCCAAATTCTTATTCACCATCACCGCTCTCACAGTAAGTGTGGCACTCCCTGGTTACTAGTAGCTTCCATCACCCGGAGTAGCTCACCAGCGGATGGTGGAAAGGCCCGCCTGCTCAACACACTCCTGGCGCCATTCCTCCCACAGCCGGGACGTGTCAGCCTGGGGGGCTGTGAGTGAGACAGGCATGGCCCCTGGTACCGTCATGCCAAAGGACTCCTGAGGAGTTTCTGCTTCCCATCTTAGGACGCTGGGCTCTGCTGTCCAAGGGAGGACTGCTTCCCCCAGATGACAATGGTCCCTTTGAACAACCAGTGGAGACTGTCCCCTTGAATCAGAGGGACAGGGTTACTACACTGGCTGGTGTGATGGACTCCAATCACCATGAGGCAACTGGGCGGCCAGCATGCAGGAGGACAGGGAAATCGATCTGTAACCTAGCGTATTCACTGGGCACCTCCTGGTACTCGGTACTTTCAGGCTCAACTGTAAGAGGAGAAAACAAGGGAAGTCTTCTAAAACCAAGACTATTAAGGTCTCAAATCTTTCTGGAAGGGAAACTAAGGTCACCCAACCAGCCAAGGTGCTGGCTGAGGGCCAGGAACCAGGGCCCGGGTGATGGAAGAGGGGATCAATGCCAAGTAGGGCCTTGCGACTCCATACAGAACAGGGAGGTGGCGGGCCCCCTCCCCCTCCAGCACCCCCACTTTGTGTGACAAGCCGCAGTGCATCAGCTGCACAAAGTCATGAAGGACTGACCCTGTCCTAGAGGAGGGGTCTGTTTCCCCTGGAGAGCAAGGCCGTGTGGGCCGTGGAGAGGCGCAGAGCATCCTACAATACGCCCCTCAGGTCAGGCAGGTGCGCTACGTTATGACTCGGTCATTCACTGTGGGTGAGGCACGAGAACCGAAGGGGTGGCTGGTGCTGCCCACGTACCTTCAGGTTGATTCTCACCTGTCTGCTCTGCACAAGGACCGTCCCGGGCCGCCTATCCAGCCTTGGTGGCCAGGAGGGCAAAGATGGGCATTTCTCTCCTTTTGACAGGGCTGCATGCAGCATCCCTGTGACTGGCTCCTGCTGGAGGGCCCTGTCCCTGTGTCCATCGACCTGCAGCCCCCAGGCCAGCAGCTTCTGGCCGGGCTCATCACAGCTCCTGCACCATCAGAGTAATCAGACCCTTGCATTAAATCCCCTTTCCTTAGGCACCTGGGGTGGTTGCTGTTTCCCTGCCCGGGCTCAGATTCAGACAGGACCCTATTATTAGATTAAGGAATCCCGGCCCAGACTCCGGTTGGTCACGACGTATTTGTTCATCTTTTGTTATGAAAATTTTCACACAACCAGATACGCACTATATGAACTAGATTCAACATTTAACAAAGATTTTGCCATGTTTACTTAATACATATTCATGCGTATGTATTTTTTTTCTGATCATAGAACCATTTCAAAGTATGTTGCATAGGTTGTGGCTCCTTATTTTTAAAATTTTTTATTTTAAAAAAAAATTTTAATTTAAATTCAATTAACATCTAGTGTATCATTAGTTTCAGAGGTAGAGGTCAGTGATTCATCAGTTGCATACAACACCCAGCGCTCATTCCATCACATGCCCTCCTTAATGCCGGTCACCCAGTTACCCCATCCCCCACCTCCCCTCCAGCAACCCTCAGTTTGTCTTCTAGAGATAAGAGTCTCTCATGGTTTGTCTCCCTCTCTGACTTCATCTTGTTTCAGTTTTCCGTGCCTTCCTCTATGATCCTCTGTCTTGTTTCTTAAATTCCACTTGAGAGTGAGATCATATGATAACTCTTTCTCTGACTGACTTATTTCACTTAGCATAATACCCTCCAGCTCCATCCATGTCATTGCAAATGGCAAGATTTCATTCTTTTTTACACCAGTAATATCCCACTGTGTATATACCACATCTTCTTTATCCATCCATCAGTCGATAGACATTTGGGCTGTTTCCATAGTTTGGCTATTGTGGACATTGCTGCCATAAACATTGGCATGTATGTCCCCTTCAAATCAGAATTCTTGTATCATTTGGGTAAATACCTCATAGTACAATTGCTGGATCACGGGGTAGCTCTATTTTTAACTTTTTGAGGCCCCTCCATACTGTTTTCCAGAGTGGCTGCATCAGTTTGCATTCCTACCAACAATATAAGAGGGTTTTCCTTTCTCCGCATCCCCGCCAACATCTGTTGTTTCTTGTCTTGTTAATTTTAGCCATTCTGACTGGTGTAAGGGGGTATCTCATTGAGGTTTGGATTTGGATTTCCCTGATGTGGCTCCTTCTTCTCAATAATTCTGTGTATAAAGCCTAAGAAAGCAGCATTCTGTTACCTGTCAGCACACCCAAGATTTACAATCAACTCCCTTGAAATCTATTACCCAGCACAGATTCAGGTGTACCCCCAGTGACCCCTAAAACTATCTTCACAGCTGCTGTCCCTTAAGGACTAAGCTTCACCACTGCACTGGGTTCTGTCTCCCTGAGCGAACAGGCCCTCACGTTTGTTTTCTCATCGGTGTGGCCAACCTGACGAGACCGGGCGAGTCACTTACACAGTGTCCTGCACCTATCCCCCTCCTCACGGTCTCATGCACTTTGTCCCCCCAAGCCGGGGGCAGCCACTGGACACACGATGCAGCCCACATAGCATCACCCCCCGAGGACCAAACGCCAGGCTGCCTGCTCGTCTGGGAGGTGTTTTTAGGACGCCAATGGAGGGCCCTGCTGGGAGCTGCAGAATGGCGGTTCTCTAACTGGATCGTACCCCCTCCCTAGTAATGAGCCAGCACTTTTCCGTGACCAAGAACGTTCCCCTGCCTGGGAGGGTACCTGCAGTTCCTCCACGGGGCTGGGTGATGATGATGAACTCCATGGGTACGGAGCTGGGACGATGGTCACTTCTGCTGGTGGCCCCACACGAGCCCTCCCACGTGGGTAATTCTTCAGTATGTGATAACCTACCACAGTCACTCTCCTTCTGGACAGGAAACCGAGGAGACCCTGCCAGGGCTCCTGCCCCTGGGGGTTGGTAGCGATCCTGGACGCCGTGAAAGCAAGCTCGGCAGAGCGGGGCAAATGCTAGAAAACTGGCCCGACGGTCACGTTCACTGACACACAGAAAATGCAGACGTGCACCAGTGCTGTAGGCTACAAGGAAAATCTACCATGGAAACAAGCAGTCATTTGGAAAAAGGTGTTTTATATTAAAACCCATGCCCAGCATCCAAAGGTCCTAAAACCACATGGAAATACTTAGAAACCAAGAAAAGACCAAGGCAAGCAGCCATCTTTCGGTCTTTACTGGGCAAAGAAGACTTTGCATTCCACAGAAAACTCTGACGTACAGTTCAACATAAATTTTAGGTCTGTTCTGGTTTTTCGCCAATGATGAAGCAAATTGGATAAAACTAAAAAACAACACAAGGGCCATTCACAAATAAAATAGTGCTGTGATTTTATTCTTTTTGTTTTTGGTGTGTTTTTGTTTTTAAACCAAATTCCCATCTGTACACTTTAAGAAAATAAACAACAGGGAAGCCAGTCTCTGCTCACTTCTTGGAGGTGAGCAGGGCAGCTCGGCCAACACACACGGAGCTGGGCAGGCGCCCGTCACGCATGAGCATGCACGTCACCTTGTGAAGGAAGGAGCTAAAACACACAGAAGTTACACAGAAGATACTCCATTTGGCTTTGTAGCATTGCAAAAAGATGAGAATGCTTAATGAGTGGCACTCGGGGGCTGGCACCTCAGGCTCGCGAGGAGACTGGGCACTGCCTGCCACGCCATGCCATGAGCCTTCCTCGGAGAAAGGGAAAAAACAAATCTTTTCCTCAGATAGAACTGTCATAGGTAAGAGCCACAAGGATTTTATTCATTGTGTAATCTTCTGGCGGCAGGATTTCTTTGAAGCGGAATCTAAAAATAAATAAAAATGACACAGCAATTCGTTAGAGGTCTTTGTGTGTTTTTTAAGAAGAATTTCAAAATTTTGAAACAGTGTCACTGAGTTAATCTCATTTCTGGTAAAAATGACCATTAAGGTATACAACGGTTTAAGTTGTGATGGTAAAGAAGCCCCAGAGAGATTACGTGCTGGCTGGACCGTGGTCTTTGTGCCCTGTGTGCCCGAGGGAAGGGAACCGAACCACAGGCCCAGCGAGGGATGAAGCCCACGGTCCCCATGCTTCCTGCTAAGGACACGTCCTTCTGATGCTGCTGCTGACAGCTGGTTATGAAGACTGAAACTAACAACACTTACTCAGCCGAACGTTACAAGCTCCGCTATGTTGTTCTACGTTCCTTGTGTGCAGTGTATTATTGTAAAAAACAGAGAACTTTTGTTACCTGGAGGCGCCCCACCCAGTCTTTGCTGGATCATTTCTAAATGATGAATATATTCCGTCAAGGAATGCTCAGGATCTTGAGAAGCAGTCAGGGATCTTTCTGATCTTGAATGTGGGGATGGAGTGGATCTTCAAACAAACAAACCACACCAAGAAACAAAGAGCGAAAGTCAACACATGATGAACGCAGCCAGCATGCAGACAGGCGGTGGGGAATAGGGTGAGCCACACGGTCGTTTCCTTCAGATCCTTTCTTTACCACAAAATAAAAAAGTAAAGTGTGTGTATATGTGTCTTTTTGTGTGTTTATGCATGTATGTATGTATGCATGCTGTCTCTACACCCAGTGTGAGGCTCGAGCTCACGACCCTGAGATCAAGAGTCGCACGCTCCATCAACTGAGCCAGCCAGGAGCCCCAAAACTAAGGCATTTTTTTTTAAGTGCTATGTAATGCTTTAAAAACCAACTTCTAGGGGCACCCGGGTGGCTCAGTCGTTCAGCGTCTGCCTTCGGCTCAGGTCATGATCCCAGGGTCCTGGGATGGAGCCCCGTATCGGGCTCCCTGCTCAGCAGGGAGTCTGCTTCTCCCTTTGCCCCTCCCCCCTGCTCATGCTCTCTCGAGCTCACTCACTCTCTTGATAAGTACAATTTTTAAAAACAAACAAACAGCAATTGCACTCCTGGGTATTTACCCCAGAGACACAGATGTAGTGAAAAGAAGGGCCACATGCACCCCAATGTTCATAGCAGCAATGTCTGCAATAGCCAAACTGTAGAAGGAGCTGAGATGCCCTTCAACAGATGGATGGATAAAGAAGATGTGGTCCATATATACAATGGAATATTACTCAGCCATCAGAAAGGATGAATACCCAACTTTTACATCAACGTGGATGGGACTGGAGGAGATTATGCTAAGTGAAATAAATCAAGTAGAGAAAGTCAATTATCATATGGTTTCACTTATTTGTGGAACATAAGGAATAGCATGGAGGACATTAGGAGAAGGAAGGGAAAAATGAAGGGGGGGAAATTGGAGGGAGAGATGAACCATGAAAGATGATGGACTCTGAGAAACAAGCTGAGGGTTCTAGAGGGGAGATGGGTGGGGGGATGGGTTAGCCCGGTGACGGGTATTAAGGAGGGCACGTACTGCATGGAGCACTGGGCGTTATACGAAAACAATGGATCGTGGATCACTACATTGATAACTAATGATGTAATGTATGGTGAATAACATAACAATAAAATTAAAAAATAAATAAAAACAAAAACCAATTTCTATAAAATGTCTGAGTTAAAATGAGTAAAAACTATTGTATGTTATTTTATTATTTAAAAAGATCTATTTATTGGGGCGCCTGGGTGGCTCAGTCGTTAAGCGTCTGCCTTCGGCTCAGGTCATGATCTCAGGGTCCTGGGATCGAGTCCCGCATCGGGCTCCCTGCTCGGTGGGAAGCCTGGTTCTCCCTCTCCCACTCCCCCTGCTTGTGTTCCCTCTCTTGCTGTCTCTCTCTCTGTCAATTAAATAAGTAAATAAAATCTTAAAAAAAAGATTTATTTATTTAAGAAAGAAAGAGGGTGTGTGCACACATGAGGGCGGGCACACCGGGGGAGGGGAAGATGGAGAGAGAGAATCTCAAGCAGACTCTGTGCTGAGCGTGGAGTCCGAGGCAGGGCTCAATCTCACGACCCTGGGATCATGACCTGAGCACAAATCAAGAGTCAGACATCTAAGCGACTAAGCCACCCAGGTGCCCCAATAAGATGTTACTTTATTCACGAAATTTTCAAGTATAAATGCGTAACCCCAACTGGATTATGGAGCCCTGTCCCTCGGACCCACCCCTCGGTGCCCTGAGGGTGGCCCCACTACCCACTGGCCTTCCCCTGATCATCGCCAACTGTCCCCCCCACTTGGGGCACCACCACCGGATCCAGCCTCTATGCAGCACCTTCCCTCCTGGCTCTGCTCTGGGCCCTTCACGTTCTCTTCAGGGTAGGCGCACGTCTTACTCACCCTTGTGCCACCCACGTAAAAGAGGCCTTAGCTGGCGCGGACTCTTTCCATAACCATCACCCACCCACACGCCAGGGTTGCCACAGCCACCGGCCAAGAGTCCCCGCCTTCCCCACACGGACCTGGGCGTCCGGGAACCCCCGGACTCATGTGCGCTCCCTGCCTTGCTTGAGGCCAGGCCAAAGCCAGCACTTCCGAAATACATCTCCCTGAGGAATTCCACACGTCGGTGGAACACCGTCAGCGCAGGAGACCCCAAGCCAGCCACACACGGGGCTGGCTGCCGCCCGGCAGCACACTACTACCCGTGCCTACGTCCTATCCTGTCTCTCCTGTCAGAAACCATTGTGCTCAGAAATGCAGGGTGCCCAGAGATGCCACCGTCAACCAGGGGCAAGGGCTGAAGGTGCACACGCCAGCACGTCCTCCCCGTCCACGGCACCCGTGGGGGACGGTGCTGCCACCCTCAGCGCGGAGCATGCGTTGGAAAGCACACAACATTCTGGACGTGCGGACAAACCCCCGCAGAGACACACACTGAACTCCGCTGTTACAAATCTTGGAAAAATCATGGCTGAAAAAACAAAATAAATGACTTGTAACCAGAGGTTCACACGGCTCCCTCTGCAGAAATGAAACCCAAGGTCCATCTTCCACGGGGCACCCGGACGAGGAGTCACAGCTGCAGTCACACCCTCTCAGCGCGCCGCGGCCACACGTGCACGCGCTCACGGCCCAGCCAGCTCCGGCCGTCGGGGACACAGCTCACTGTAACGCTGAAACAAACTTGCATTCGACCATCCAACCACGAGGCCTCTCGTTGTTTTAACGGAAAAGGGTTTTTTTCCCCACAAGTAACCTACGGATGTTTAACATCGTTGCTGTAACATCTCAATTGCCAACTGAGCAGTAAGTAGAGAGACGACCTCACGTGTGCAAAACACCCCGAATCCCACAGAAAAGAGATCAAGCCAAGCCCACCAAGGCCTTGGTGAGCACACACACGTCTGAGTAGGGGTTCAGCGGCTTACCGGCAGGCCCGTCTACCGTGGAAACGCAGCCTGGAAGCATACTCACCTCTCCCTCTTGCACAGGGAGGCCTTGGGCACACGGTCCCCGGCGTGGCTGGTGGACAAGTCCCGGGTTGGCGGGGAGGTGCTGGTTTTGGGTGGAGGCTGCTGCCGTGGTGCCGGGAATCCTTCCCCCACAACCGCTGAACAACAAAGGGATGAGGAAAAGAGACACGAATGCCTTTAGTAGGAAGGCCCCTCTACCAAAATTTAAAATTAATAAACTTTTAAGAGTCTGCATGGCAATTTCAAAACATTTTTAAAATACCCAGTTTATAAAAATTATGTTTTAAAAAGCTCTAGAGGAAACCTGAGTTTTGATCACCTGTATTCTGCCCCTGCAGGGCTGACCTGACCCCCGCATCCGTACGAGGGGGCTCTGGAGGAGGGAGAAGCAGAACCCTGAGACCACCAGGTGTGCCTGGTGTGGGAACAATCCTCCTAAAGGCCTGGAGGCCAAAGTAACAACACGTGGGAACAGAGCTAATCGGTGGCCGGGGTCGCCCAGCTGCCGAGGGTCTGGCTGCCTCCCCTCCAGACGCCTGAAGCCCCGCAGGACTGGGGGCCGCGCCCCTCCAAGTGGGCAGTTCTCTGCGCACATTTACACGTGGGGCAGGGCCCCACGAAGACCCACGCTTAGGCAGAGCGCGGGTGGTGGAGCTCCCAAAGGAGAGATGCAGCTGTGAAGCGGACCTTTCGGTAAGTGAGTTATTCATCTATATCTCTGGCACTTCTACATCGTCCCAACCGTTAACAGGTCTTCTCTGCACTTCCCAACATTGAAACCACCTTCCCTCAGAAGCCACCTGGCCTCGCCAACAGCCCCGCTAGCTGAGTGTACGGGTTTCCTGTGTGCTTCACGGGGCTCCCACAGGGCCCACCTAGACGGGGCGCTCGGCCTGCCACCACGGCTCCTTTCCGATTTACCTCTTGCCACTTCTTAACCAAGAAACGTAATCTACAAAGAAAACAAAGGACACAAAACATTGGAAACTAGAGCAAAACAGCTGTGTAAAGAGTGGTGAAACTGCAGACATGACCAATACCCGGGGTCAGACTCGGGTGGGCCCCCGTCTGCGGTGACCTTGGTGCCCGTGCCACCAGCACCTTCCCAGCCACGGCGCCGCCCTGACGCCCACCAACCCGGGGTCTCACAGACCCCAGTTCAAAGTCTGCAACACCCACTCCCTATCGCCACTGAAGCCACTTGACGGCTCAGGGCAAAAGGAGCAAGACAGAGGGCCCTGCCCTCAGGTGTCCTTGGTCACATGGGGAGCAGGGGTGTCAGGGTGAGGAGCACCAGAGGTCAGTGCCCAGAGGTGCAGCACTGTAGGGCTCCCTGGCTCCTCCTGGGACGGCGCCTCTGTGGCTTGGCGTACGCCCTTCAGACACAGCCTTCCTGTCAGCAGCTCCTTCGAGGCACCTCTGTGAGGGCACGCCCTCCTGGAAGGCATGTTCTGACTCGTATCAAAACCGTAGCTGCTGAAACTGCTCCGCCCCTTGACAGGAAGGCTGAAGGCAGGCCCTGGGCCGGGTGCCCTGCCCCACATCGCATCTGCCAGGCTTCCTGGCACAGGGCGTTCTCTCCAAACATGCAGATTGGACGGATGGATGGACAGGTGGTGGGTGGGTGGTCTGTGGTCAGAACTCAGAGGCGAGGGGACGACGTGCCCTGAGGCTGAGGGCCGAGAGCAGGAGAGCGAAGAGGCCAGGCAGCCTCCCACCTCTGCTGGACCGGACGGGCCGGTGCTGGGTCTCTGCAGGGGCAGGGCCGGGAGAAGTCAGGGAAGACTTAGCCGACGGGTGGGGTCTGAGGAAGGCACCTCGCAGGCATCACACAGCAGACACAGCGCTAACAATTCTTAGTGGGACAAACATTTGTGGAGATTCAGCAAATCTTAAAATTATAACATAAAATGGATTTTCATCAGTTAATTCTGAACAGGTCAAAATTCCAGAGACTCACATACCTGCCCCCAAAACAACACCCCGTGTCAACAACGCCTAGGACACTGAGTGGTGCCTGGGGCTAGCGGGACCTCCACGCCCTGCCCTCCTCCAGGGAGAGGGCTTGCGGCCAGGATGAGAATACCACACGCGGCCACCGCCCCGCGTGGGTGACATGCCCCGGTGGGCCTGGCCCCTTTCATGGAGCGCACATTTCACTAAAATACAGGGAACTGGAATGTGAAGCCGTGAAATGCAGTTTCAAACTCTGTCAGACATGCCTATCATTAAAAGGAATCCCGGCACGAGGCCCATCGAGGGGCAAGGTATTGTTTTGTGATAAGCAGGCATCCCTCAACCTTAGTTTCAGAAGCTGGGTGACAGTTCTGCGCAACATGGTCTCTTGAAGGCAAGCGTTGCTCAGAAGGGAGCGCCATCGTAGAGGGAGACAGACCCAAATACCCAGCATGCCTCCCACTCACGAAGATGCGGCGGCAGGGACCTCAGCGTACCTTAATATCGCGATCACCACCCTGACGGCAGTCCGAAACTTCGTAAAAGGGCGAGATGTGGTAATTTTCTTATCTGCTTTGGAAGGAAATACTCCCAAATGGGCGATCATGGAGAGTGTTTCTTGTTCAGAGTCCTGGAATCCACCAATCAATAGTAAAAGATACTTCTTTTGATAAATCAGAGCTTTTCTGAAGCTTTCTGCTCTCAAATAATGCAAGTACAATTTCTCCATCTGAAAGAAAAAAAAAGTTAAACAATCCTGGAACAAAGACATCTTGCCGACAGATGCATAGCACGTTCGCACCACTGGGCTTTAAGGAGAACGGGCGCCTGCGACTCTGGATTTCAGGGTCGCGAGTTCAAGCCCCACATGGGCTGTAGAGAGGACTTAAATAAATAAATAAATCTTTAAAAAAATTAAACTAAAAAAATGCAGACCGTTTCTCCGTTCAGCAGACTGTTCATAGCAGTAAGCCCTGTGTGACCTCTGTCACCAGGGACAGACTCGCTGGGCAGACTGGACAAAAGGCAGACCAGACACGCTTTCCAGGCATACCCTTATACCCTAATATTCTAACACGCATTTTCCCGCACCCCAGAGGCCAACACGATGACCAGTGAATCCCCAGTCTGGGGTGTTTTCAGGCTGTGGAGACGGTTACCTAATATGACTCCAAGCCTGACACCCCTAACTTGTGAGCACAGACACAAAACACCTGTACGGAATGACAGTGGGTTTCAGATGGAAGTGTATTCACTTTACTGCTCTTATCTGAGACGGCTCGACGTCTCCCTACTGCTGACAGACACACAGCGGATACACGTGTTGGCAACTATGCTCAGGCAAAGGAGAACCCCACCAGCACGAGAATGCTTTTGCAGCTACAATGAACAGACTAGGGTTCTTAGAAGGACCGACTGTTACACCTTTGTCAGCCTCATGGAACGCACACCACCAAGCGTGAACCCTGACGTAGCCTGTGGACTCTGGGTGACAACCACCTGTCAGTGCAGGCTCACTCAGGTGTGGGCTGTCAACACTGGGGGAACAAGGAATATATGGGAACTCTCTGTACCTTCCCTTCAATTCTGCTGTGAACCTTAAGCTGCTCTAGAAATACAAAGTGCTTTTTTTTTTTTAAGAAAGTGTGAGTGAGCGTGCAGGGGGAGAGGCAGAGAGAATCCCAAGCAAACTGCCTGCTGAGCACAGAGCCTAACATGGGGCTCAATCCCCAGGACCCTGAGGTCATGACCTGAGCCGCAATCAAGAGCCAGCCGGGCACCCCTAGAAATATAAAGTCTTGAAAACAGATAAAGGGCACCAAAAGTGGATGACACTGTGCGCACCCCGTGCGGGCCCCAGGCCTGGCCTTACGTGCACGCTGCAGGTGTTTCCCTCCTCGCGTGTGGCCGGTGCGGGCAGTGCTGGGTCTGGCTGTCCCACTGAGCTCTGTGAGACCGCCCCGTGTTGCTTCCACGCAGACTTGTCCGGCCTCTGTAACAAACCACAGACAACATCGTTTACACAGTTGCTCCAACAGAGGAACATCTTGAGAAAAACGGCCAAGGGCGGAGTCGCCACCCCTACCCCAGGGTCACGTTTACACAGCTCGTTTCTTCCTCGGCTGCTCCCCCAGGACGTGGGAGGGGGCTGGGGCACGTCTCCCAAATGCCACAACATGGGCGATCCTGGGTCCGTCTTTGGCATCTTTTCAGATGCCCCGGCTGTTACGTTGGTATTATCAATCAGATAATTAATATTCACGGGTGGTTACTGCATACCAATTACTGAAGTATGATTGCACAAAAGGTACGTTTTTATTAAAAACAAACCCCAAATATTTGTGAAAGAACACTGAATTCAAAGCATTAAGCCTGTTGAACACCCGCACAGTCTCTGGTCCTAGAAAGGCTAATAACTCCTGACAGGTCTGAGTCCCTGGTTCTATGGAAGCACCAACAAATCACATGCTTGGAAACCTCAGCAAGAGCCCCACATGGGTGCCGTGGACGCTGAGGGGCTGTCATGACCAGGCGGCACATCCAAACGTATGCAGCGTGGCCTGGATACCATGGTGTGTGGAGAGCGCCCAGAGCTCCTCCAGTGGGGACCCATTTACAGAGGAGAAGGATCCCACAGTGAGGACAGCAAAGGGGCTGCCCATACCGGATGACCAGAGGGAGCTCCAAGCACTTTGGCCACGTGCACGGCGACCTCGTTCCTGCAGTGTGGAACAGGAATCAAAAGCAACCTGTCTGCACCAGCCCCCAGCTCCAGGGCACAGCAGAGAGGAGGGGCCTGTGACTGAGGTGACCCTGTGGAAGGGCTCTCACAGGACCCCTGGTGAAGAAGAGGGAAAAGACTAGATGTTTGTTTTCCTGGTCCTAAAACACAGCCTGGTCATTTGTGGAAAGAAGTTCTCTAGGAATCAAAATCACCTTGGTTTCACCATGTTCTACCAGCTCACTCCCAGCCTGTGATTTACTCATTAAAAATATTTTTCAGGGGCGCCTGGGGGGCTCAGTCAGTGAAGAGTCTGCCTTCAACTCAGGTCGTGATCTCATCAGGGTCCCGGGACTGAGTCCCACCTCAGGCTCCCTGCTCAGTGTGGAGTCTGCTTCTCCCTCTGCTTCTGCCCTTCCCCCCCCATTTGTGCTCACTCTCTCAAATAAATAAAATCTTTAAAAACAAATATTTATTTCCTACAATGAAAGCAAAAATTAACAAGTAGGACTACGTCAAACTAAAAAACTTTTATACAGTAAACCATCAACAAATAATACATTCAATAGAGAGTGAACATCCAAAATATATTTAAAAACTCATACACAGCTCAATATAAAAAAGCGATCCAATGAGCAGAAAACCTGGACATTTTTCCAAAAAATACATACAAATGGCAAAAAGACACCTGAAAAAATGCTCAGCATCACTCGGCATCAGGGAAATGCAAATCAAAACCTCAATGAGATACGACCTCACACCAGTCAGAATGGCTAAAATGAACAAGTCAGGAAACGACAGATGTTGGCGGGGATGCAGAGAAAGGGGAACCCTCCTACACTGTTGGTGGGAACGCAAGCTGGTGCAACCACTCTGGAAAACAGTATGGAGGGTCCTCAAACAGCTGAAAATAGAGCTACCATACGATCCAGCAATTGCACTACTGGGTATTTACCCCAAAGAAAACTGAAATACAGATTCAAAGGGATACATGCACCCTGATGTTTATAGCAGCAATGTCCACAATAGCCAAACTGTGGGAAGAGCCCAGATGTCCATCGACAGATGAATGGATAAAGAAGATGTGGTATATATATACAATGGGATATTAGTCATTAAATTAGAATGAAATCTTGCCATTTCTGAAAACATGGATGGACCTCGAGGGTATTATACTAAGTGAAAGAAGTCAGACAGAAACAGACCAACATCATGTCATTTCCCTTATATGCGGAATCTAAAAAACCAAACAAACGAACAAAACAAACTCACAGAAACACAGAACAAACTGGCTGGTGGTCAGAGCGGGGGAGGGCTGGGGGGCAGACAAAATAGACCAAGGGGATGAAGACGTGCCAACACCCAGTCATCAGGATGCCACCGCAGAAGGGGAGTCAGGAAACCGTGACAACTCTGTGTGGTGACAGGAACTAGACTCACGGTGGCCACGGTTTCGGGATGGATGCAAGTGTCGAATCACCACGTTGCACACCTGAAACCAGTATAGTATTGCGTGTCAGTTAATCTTCAATAAAATAATCTATTTCCTGATTTCCTTGTTAACTTTCACAGAAAGGATAAAAGTGTTGTAATGGTGGCTGGGCTTTAGTCCCACAGGCACAGTAAGATGCCTTCAACAAGGGGCCTCCAAACGCTTCCGACAAGTCCCAGAGAAGCAGACAGGACTGTGAATGGCACTAACGGCAGCTTTCAACAAGGCTAAAACGTGGAGCCATTATAACTTCTCACATCAAGGAATGCAAGTCCTGGGTCTGCTTGGTGGTTGGACACTACTTTCCAAGTACAGAGGTTCCTTTACCTTACCTACCAACAGAGCTTCAAAACAGACAAAGCAAAGCTGGACGGGGCGTGAAGACAAATTCGCTATTCTACTTAGAGATGTCAACATCCCCCCTCACGGTGACCGAGGACAAGGAGGAAGCAGCTCAAAGCTACAGGAGATCTGAACGACCTTCTGGGACCCTCCACCAACACCAAGAACACCAAGTCCATTACTAAAAACCTTTCCCAAAAGACCCAGGTGGTTTCACTGGTGAATTTTAATAAATATTTAAGGAAAAAATAAATACTAGCTCTAGGAAACCTCTTCCAGAAATTAAGAAGAGGAAAGAACATGTCCCAACTCATTTTATGAGGCCAAAACTAGACAATACAAAAAAACCCTCCAGATTAACATTCTTCATGAACCCAGAGGCAAAAATGCTCAACAAAATACGGGCATATTGAATCCAACAATACGTAAAAATGGTAAGACATCATGACTGCCTGGGGCTTTCCCTGGCACACAACAGAGTCCACAACCAAAAATCAACCTAATACACCATGTTAGCTGAGTAAACAAGAAAAAACGCATCACCTTATCAACAGGTGAAGAAAAATCATAACAAATTTAAACATCCATTCATGATAGAAAGTCTTCGCAAACTAAGACTGGGAAGGGAACCTCAGCCCCAGGGCTTTTGCACGAGCACCTGACAGAGGGAAGCTCTGGCCCTAGGACTGGGAATCTGGCCCGCCCAACCGCGTCCAGGAAGTCCAGCCTGTGCAAGAAGCAAGGAACGGAAATCAAAGGTATTCACATTGGAAAGAAAAGAAAACCCTATTCACAGATGATTATTAACTGTCTCTGTAGAAAATCCCACAGAAGGGCTCATCGGGTTAAAAAGCAAGGTTAGAAAGGGTCACAGCACAAGGTGAACCTGTGAACATGGACTGTGTTTCCACACACGAGCCATGAACAACTGGAGAACAAAAGGTTTGAAAAGTGCCTTTTCCAACAGCTCCCTGAAAAATGAAATGTTTAGGTATCAACCTAACATGTTTTTAGGATCTGAACGTTGATAGCTACAACACATTTAAGAGACAGAAACACATGAAAGGACATGCAAGTTCCCAGATGGGAAGGTTCGATGCAGCTAAATTCAAACCTAGTTACAGTTTCGTAGCCCAAATGTCAATCCTTGCCTGAAACCTTTATGATAGCCTCACTGAAATGGAATCCACATACCATAAAATTTATCCTCTGAAAATGTACAATTCAACGGGTTTTGAATATATTCACAGAATGCAATGACCACCGCTCTGTAATTCGTGTTTTCGTCACCCCCAAACCCCCTCCAGCCCCGCCCCTCCCCACCACACCCCCAGCCCCAGGCAACCACTAATTTGTTTTCTGCCTCAATGGTTCTGTGGCTCTGGGCACCCCACGTAAACAGGGTCCTACAAGGAGGGGACAGAGGCTCATCCACACCGCAGCACTTGGCAGTCTTTTACTTCTTTACTGCCAAATAAGCCCATTTACGGATATACACTATTTTATTTACCCATTCATTAATTAAGGGACATTTGGGTTATTTCCACTTTCAGGCTACAATGAGTAACGGGGGCAGGAAAGTTTTATGTGGAACTGTTGGTAAGAATGGCCAGACCATTTTCCAAACCAGTCAGACCTTGTACGGCTCCTGGTTCCTCCCACATCCCAACCAGCCAACCAGCAAGATTCTAAAGTTTATGTTCAAAGACAGAGGAACTAGAATGGCCAGATAATGTGAAGGCAGAACAAAACTGGAGCATCCCCACTCCCTGACACGAAGCTGTGATTTCACCCATGCCGCCTGGTCAGCAGAGCAGAACGGAGAATCCGGACATACGAGCATGTTGTGGAATGACTTCTGACATCGGCACAAAGCGATCTTCCAACGCGTGCCAGAAAAACGGTATCAATGGGCATACGAATAAACCTCAACCTAACCCTCAGACCGAAAAAAAAAATTACCTCAAAATGGATCACAGACCTAAATGTAAAAAGTAAAACTACAAAACTCTTAGCACAATCCACACACAAAAAATTTATTAAAATGAGAAAATCCTGTTGTGCAAAGGCTACCATCTCCACAGAGGGGGCTCTGCACAGACCGGGAGGAGAGATTTTCACATCATGGATCTGACCGCGCAGTTGCAGAACATAACAGTACCAGAAAACAAACAATGCAACTTAAAAGTGGGCAAGGGCTAGGCGCCTGGGTGGCTCAGATGGTTAAGCGTCTGCCTTCAGCTCAAGTCATGATCCCAGGGTCCTGGGATCGAGTCCCGCATCGGGCTCCCTGCTCCTTGGGAGCCTGCTTCTCCCGCTGCCTCTCTCTCTCTCTGTCTCTCATGAATAAATAAATAAAATCCTTAAAAAAAAAAAAAAAAGTGGGCAAGGGCTTTAAAGGACACTTCACTGAAGAAGATACAGAGACCACTCGGCACCTGGCACCACGCTAGCGGAAAACGCAGGGCCAGCACCCAGCGGGCTGACGCAGCGACAGGACTCCCACGTTTTGCTGAAGGGGAAGTGAACGGGTGCAGCTGTTTGACACTCAGTGGGCTCGACATTCATGTCATGGGACCCCCTCCTCCCCAGGTATTCACCCCAGAGTAACTGCTTAGAAGCGCTAACTGTCATTGTCAAACACCAGAGACAACCCAGAGACTCTGCTGAGGCACGTCTGGGCCTGGAACGCTGCTCGGCGATACGACGCCCAGGATGGATCTCAGGTCCTCCGAGAGGTGACACACCGTGGGCTTCGGCCACACACCCAGGAACAGCACACTGCAGAAAGCAGCCAGGCTGGCGAGCACAGCGGCTGTGGGCTCTGTTAATACCAGCGGTCACGTGGGTCATGAAGAGTCTACCCACGCGGGAAACCTCAAATGACATCCTACCAACGAGGAGCAGATTTCACTGCACATAAATTAAAAAATAATTTAGAAAATTTTTCATGGTAAAAAAGGTAAAGCAAATCACAAACACAACAATCTCAGTATAAAAGAAAAAAAATTGGGCATTCCAGAAAAAAAGTCTATCAAACTATGCAATCAGGAAAACTATGTCATTTTAATCAGGTCCAAACCAAACAGATTTCCTGTCCCAAGCAGGCACAGAACGTGACCTCATGGCAAGGTCATGTGTGTCGCGTGTGTGCTGGCGTGTGGGGCCAGTGCACACACGCGGCTGGAGTGCTAAGCCACTGTAGCATGCCCGGGAGCTCCACCCACAGCCCAGAGGGAGCCCCGCCCACGGCCCATAGCCTGCACAGAAGCGCGTACGTACACTCCACACGCCGCGCTTCAGCAGGTGCTGCTTCAGGGACTTCTCCAGCTGCGACACCGCCCGGCACAGGTCCGCCTTCTCCTGCGTCACCGTGCGCAGAGCTTTCGTCAGGGAGTCGTTGTCTTTCAGGAGGACGTCCACCAGCTGGGTCTGCAGCTCTGCTGTCATCTTTTTCTTGACAAGGAGAAAACAAAAATAAATGTATACAAATTTGTTTGTTAAAACGTATACATGTGCAGGGCCCGGGTGGCTCGGTCAGTGACGACGCATCTGCCTTCAGCTCAGGTCATGATCCCGGGGTCCTAGGATCGAGCCCCACATCGGGCTCCCTGCTCAGGGGGGAGTCTGCCGCTTCCCCTGCTCTCTGACAAATAAACAAAACCTTTGTTAAAAAAAAAAAAAAGATACACCTGTTATTTGTGTTTTTTACTGTTGGTTACTTTCAATAATTATAAATTTTACACACATTTGGAGCTCAGTGGGAGCTTGTGGGGCTGGGAAGAGCTGTCCATCTATGGGACAGAAAATAGGAAGTCATCAACTCACGTTTCCATTCCCCTGCGAGCAAGACCCTGCCCAGCCCTGGCGGCACTAACCAAGCCAGCCCGTTACAGAACACACCGCTCTGACGGCTCACAGCTCTGTGAGCAGCACTTGCAGGGAACAGAGACACCGCGTGCTCGTCCCTGAGGGGCCCAGCACACAAGTCCCTTAAACCAGTTCATCACCTCCATAATCGGAGCTCAGCATACAGCTGGCTCGGGACACCGACAGAGGGACGGCCTCCTTGGGACAGCACGCCCCACACGGACCTGTCACGCTCCTCCGGCGTGCGGTCCCCTCTCCTGCTGCCTACACACATGCTGCTTTCACACTAAACAGTGTGATTTCACAACTGCCAGGGAACATCTACCAGGAACCTATGTCAGCAACCAGGACTTCTAAACACCTTCAGGCGCGGCTGACAGGGAGCTCAGAATTTGCCAGAAGGCCCTCGGGAGCTCACTTCTGGCTCAGGCTCTCAACCAGGTGTACACAGAGCAGGCTGGGTCAGCAGCAGCTCCCCCCCGCCCCGCCCCCGCGGCACCTGTCCTGAACACCACGGCCCAGCACCTGCTGGAGGGCGCACCGGGCGCTCGGCAAGGTCACGCCCAGGGCGGGTTGTCAGACGGGGGAGATGGCAGGGAAGGGTAAACAAGGAACCACGCAGGGTGCCCCACACCTCACCTGGGAGGAGCTGGGCGCGCTCAGGTCAGACTTGAGCTCCTCTAACGTGCGCAGTAAGGAGCTCACTGCTTTCTCATTCGACGATGTCCAATCACTAATTGTCCTGTGAACATAAACAGACATTGAAAAGCTTGTGCAGATCCCAACGAACAGTTCTCCACGGCCACCGGGAACTCTGTGGGAGAAACGACAAATGGGGTCCAACGCAGCCCCCAGGAGGACGTGCTTATGACTGCTTCCTCCAGCCATGCTCTGCCCACAAGAGGTGGGGGCTCAGAGCCGCTCCACCGACAGTGAGGGCCAGGACGTGATACAGCCCTCGCGCCAACAGTCCGTGAGGCCCAGAGACGTCAGCCGCTGACCAAAGACTCCGGAGGCTCTGAGCGCCGCTCTCCACTGGGGTCTGTGTCAGGTGTGAAGCACTGTCCGGAAGGAAGGTCTGCTGAGAGACGCTGCCACCCTACGAACTGAACCAGTTACAGACGGGAGAACGGTACTTGTGGAGCGTCGTGCAGACGGCAAAGGGCGAGTATTAATTTTCCTGTTCACAGAAACCCTCCTGTCCGTCCCTTAACCACGGAGGTGCACCCTGGTTGTGTGAGTAGCGGTCTGGGGGCTGCCGGTAAGGCAGACACCGTGTGGACGTGTTGCGCCACCCAGCCTTGGCGGGCCCAGGCAGGACCAGCCTGGCATCTGGCCCAGAACTCTGGGTGGTGAGCAATTGTAAAGGGGTACGAGGAGAAAAGATCTAAAAGAAACTTGGACTTTCCTCTCCTACTTAGAATGCAAAAAAATACAATTCTGTCAACATCTTTCAGGGGAGTGCTGCCCAGAAATTCAGCCAGCACGTGGGAAGAGACCGTCCACTGCACTACAACAGGGCCTGAAATCAGAGCCACGCCCCAAAGGCCCACGTGTTCCCTAACACACGGACTCCAATGGTGGGGGTAGCCAGTCCTGAGGGGCTCACCTGTCCACCATCTGGCTGACAAAGCTGGTCAGGAGCCCGGCTGCACACAGCAGCTGCTGCCGGACCTTCTCCAGGCTGTGCCGTTCCTCCTGCAGCCACTCAGCCTCTGGGGACTGGCGAGCGGCTGCCTTCGCCTCCAGGGCCTGGACCGTCCGCTGAAGCTGCCGGATCTTGTGCTCATCTCGCTGATGCTGCAACTCCAATTCCCGCTGTTGTCAACGGCAAAACAACAGGAAAATCCTTCACACGCCTGTTCCAAAAGCAGAAGCCTGAAGCCCAGCCATCACTACGGGCGGCCCCTGGCCGGCATGGGGTCCTGGGGCGGGGGTTGCGCCGCACACCAGCACCCTCCACCGGGCACAGAGACCCAGGCAGAACCAAGCTCTGCGGCGTGGGTGGTGAAGGCCTATCTTCCATCTCTGAGAACGATCAGGCTTTTACCTGCCTGCGCAGGGGAGGCTGGACACTGAAACAGGAGTGTTCACAGGCCCAAGTTCCGGCTTCCAGCCTCGGGACACGCGCGCACACACACCAACACACACCAACACGCAGACACGGACAAGCACAGAGGAACGTGCACGTGTACCAGGTGGAAATGGTCTCACTTGCAAAATGCCCTTCACCACGTGTGCCGGGCATGTGCTGGGCTCCTGGGAGAAATCAGAAGAATGGCTACCAGGTCCCTGCCCAACACGGGGACCTGCACCCCCACCAGGGAAACAGAGTGGATCACCCGGCAGAAACCTCTCTGGGCAGCCACTTAGAGCAGCTTCCACAGGTGAGGAGGCCTCAGGAAGGGCAGGAAGAGTCGCCGTGTCCAGGAGAAACTGGGACACCGGGAACCCAGCCTGGGCCTCTCGCCGTGCGGCCCCACACAGCACATCATCTCGATCAACGCTCCAGCCTCGTGAGAACGCAGGGATCGTTACTTAGCTATTTTCCAGGTTAGGAAAGCGAGATGCCGAGGGACCTACAGGTTTATTTTGTGTAGAGAAAATGAAATTGACCCTGAAACAACTATCTTGGGAGGCCACTGTGCTCAGAAAAAGAGTCCATAATCCAAAACAAATTAACTGTCTACAGTGACCATAACACCAAAACGGCTGCATCAGTTACTTAAAACTCCATTCCAAGATGCATCATGAAGAACAACTATTGAAACTTGGAAAACATTTCTTTGCATTTTTTAAGCAATCACGTTACCACTTATTTTTTCTAAAAAAAAGTTAAAGGGTTCGGCTGAAAACTTTGGAGATGGTTTGGGGAAGTCCTTAAGAAGCACATGAAGGCTACAGACACTCTTCCCTGGGAGAAAAGACACACACACACGTACAAAAGCCTGAACACATTCGGGGGTTCCGCGTCAGCAAGGCGCACCCTGGGGCCTGACTCTACTCGCCTCCTTCACAAAACAGCACAGGGTGCCTCCAGGCCACGCACCACCCACTCCCTGCAACACCTCCAAACTACGCCGTGCGCAGAACAACACGACCATGATGCGAAATCCGTGTACCACAGCACAACACACACACACGGGCCTTGAAAACACCAGGAAAAGGAGGCAGACAGGAGAGGCCACGCACCGCCGGATTCCTTCAGAGGAAATGTCCACAACAGAACAATCCACAGACAGAAGGGAGACTCGCGGTGGCCAGGGCTGAGCGCTAACGGTGTGGGTTCCATGTGAGGCTCTGAACATGTTGTAACGTGGGTGGTGGCGATGGGCGCACGACCCTGAAGGTACTGAAAACCACTGATGTGTGCAACTTAAGTTGGTGAACTCAGGTATGTGACTGCATCTCAGCAAAGCTGTCAAACACACTGAACACACCCCTGACATGAACTTCCAAAACTAATTAATTTCATAGCATTTTGGGAGCCGACTTATCTTTGTAACACTTAGAAATCCAGAGTTTTGTTTTTAGAAACACATATTCATTTCTCAAATAGTTCATGGCAGGCTAACCACTGAAAAGTCCAGGCTACTGGTTTTCCTTGTGTGTTTTTAAAAACTTAAAGATTTTCACAATTTTTAAAAAATTGTGTTTAAAAATATTTTTTAAAAAAATATTTAAAAGGCATTTTTAAAAAGGGCAACACAAATGTCAATCCATATGAAGACACAGGATTTAATTTTCCCAGAAACAAAGGCTTCTGACTGACATAAAATGTATCTGAAAGCAACATTTTATCCAAAAATATAGAAGAGGAACACTTCCCAACTTGTGAGGCAAAAATCATCCAAATATCAAAATCAAAGACACCACAACTTGAAAAATACAGACCAATATCCCTTACGAATACAGATGCAAAACCCTTACGCAAAACCCTAGCAAACCGAATACAGGAGTATATAAGAAACATCATCACCAAAGTCAAGTGGGATTCAGCCAAGGACGCAAGGGTAGATCCACAGATGGAACCCGATCAATGGGAAACTCGGCATCAACAGAATAAAGGGCAAAAACATTGATTCCAAGACACCAAAAATGCAAATCCAAACTGTCTCATGATCGAAAATACAGCATACAAAGGCTGAGTGAACAAGAAGGGAGAGACTCCCGAGACGGGCAGGACGGCATGTAAAAGTCACCCGGACAGGGACGGAAGAAGAAAGCCTACGTATACGTGCCGGTGACATGACCTCATAACACGGAAAACCACAAATACGTTAAAAAACTGGGAATAACAAACAAGTCTAAGGTTGTAAGATGCAAGATCGATAGCAGAACCAACTGTATTGGGGTACACCAGCCGGGGATGATCTGAAAATGAAATTAAGAAATCAATTCCATTTACAACAGAATCAGAACATCATAAAATACCTGAGAATAATTTAACAGTTAGTGCCACACTTATCATCTGAAAGCAGCAAAACGCTGTTGAAAGAAATCGAAGACCTAAATATGTGGAGAGATTTCCAATTTCATGATCCGCAGAGGTAACACCGTCAAGGTGACAACCCCCCAAAGCCATCTGCGGAGTAACGCAATCCCCCAGAATCCCAAGGGCCCCGAATATCCAAGACAATCCTGAGAAAGACCAAGGTTGGAGACGCGGAAACCTGCCACGAAGCCGTGGTGAGCGGAGGGCGGCGGAGGACAGACACAGACCAGCGGGACGAAGGAGAGGAACAGGGTCACGGCCCCGGGGCGCTCTCAGCCCCACGGCTGGCTGCTGGGTGGTGACGCGGCCGGCGCGCGCTCACCAGTTTCTCCTTGTCTCCCGTCGGCCGCATCTCCACGTCGGCCTGGCCCGGCCCCGTCTCCGCTCTCCTCCTCGCGTCCTCAAGTCCTTCCCGTGCGGCCAGCCTCGCAGAACTCTCCCCCTCTCTCCGCAGACCATGCCGCGGCTCCCGTGCCTGGGGGCGCTCCACGGCGGAGGTCTGTGCGGCCCTTACCTCCTTCTCCCTCTCAAGCTCCGCACGGCGCTTCTGCACGTCCACCTGCTCCAGCCTGGCCTGCAGCTCCACCGCGCGGGACTTCTCGTCCTTCAGCCTCCTCAGCACAGCGTGGTGCGCCGGCGTGTCCCGTGCAACGCGGCTGAGCTGCTCCGTCAGGAGCCGCTCGTGCTGTAGAGCCGCGGCCAGCTCCAGCGACCGGCCCTTCTCGGCCTCTAGGCTCCGCCGCAGCTCGGACAGCTGGCCCCGCTCCTGCGCCAGGAGCGCCTCACAGCGCGAGGCCTCGATCTGCAGCTCCTTCTGAAGGTTGTCCTTCGCTGTCTGCTCGTGTTTCAACGCAACACACAGTCGATTACTCTGAGCACACTGCTTCTCCAAGGATGCTCTTAACTCCTGTGTCGGGGACAAGTCCGTCAAGAGAAGTATGGAAACAGTTTGCCCGCCCCGACTCCCGTTCCTAACCCCAGGCCAGCAACCACACCTCCTTGTTCTACAGTACCAACCGTTCCGTCCTCACCTCACCGTCCCCTTCACGGATGGAGCACATTTTGGAAGCGGTGCTCCGTAAACACACACCCACGCCCTGGGTTCACCCTCCCTCCCCAACAAGCACGACACCCTGGACACTCAGCGTCCTGCCTGGCAGAGCCGCGGGCTCCATGTGCATGAACGACAGCTTCGCTCCACCTGGGACAGGGGAGCACAGATCACCTGCCGGACACGCGGCCCTCCGAGCTGCCCAACGGCACGTCAGTTCACGCACACAAGCACCTCTGGACACAGAAGCCGGGTCACTGCCATCTGCGCTCCGTGCGGCTCGTCAGTGAGGAGGCTGCGTCCGCCTCGACGAGCCCCGCACCCAGAGACGCTGGGGGCTATGAGCACCGTCTGCCACGACGGAGATGTGGCTGCACCAGACCCAGGCCCGCTTCACCCGGCACGTGCCCGCGGGGAGGGGAGGAGGGGCCCCACGCACAGCTGCCCGCCGGCCCCGCTGCCCAGGCACCTCCAGGGTCTTGGAGCTCTGGCCCTCCTTCTGCAGGTGCTGCAGATGCTCCTCCTGCAGCCGGCTCTGCAGGGCGCGCTCCTTCCCGCGCTCGCACTCCAGCTCCTGCAGGGCCGCCTTCAGGTTGCTCTCCTTACTGTCCAGCACAGACCTGTGTGGGGAGACAGGCGCACGCGGGTCACAGGCGCTCACCCGGGGCACACCCGGCGCCCGTCACAGTATGCGCACACACCGCAGCCTGCGAGGGCCGCTCTTCCACGTCCACACCAAGAGAGGTGTGGGGACAACTGCGTGACTTCCGCGCGTTACTCGACAAAGTCCACGGCCAGGTGGGTGAGGGCCCCTACCTCAGCTGGAGGACCTCCTTTTGCGCCTCACTGAGGGAGGCCAGCAGCCTCTCATTGTCCTGTTTACACTCGTGGAGCTCAGATCTCAAGTCTCTGACGACAGTCTGCTCCACCACCAGGAGCTTCCGAACGCTGCTGGCCTTCTCTTGCTCTTCATTCAGGGTTTTCTGTACATCGCTTGCTATACGTTTCTCCTGCTCGACCTTATATGCCAGTAACTCCACTGAGAAATACATTACAGAAAACAAGACAGCATTTCCCGTGAATCCAGGTGAGCTGTACTCCTGGGACGTCACAAATTAAAAACAAACCAGTGTGGGGACGGGGATGTATTCACTCTTGGGGAAAATGACATTTCCAGGCCTACAGCCGGGATGCTGGCCTTCCTCCAACACCCTCCAGGCCGGGGCACCCAGAGATGCATGGGCAGAGTGGCCGCGCAGGACAGAGGACACGACATGGCTCCCCAGGGCCAGCTGCTCAGGCCTGGGGTCTGCCTGGAGGCAGAAGGGCAGGCTGGGCAGAGATGGACCGTCGCTGCAGTCATCCTGAATCACGGCTTCCCCCACAACTCCTACACTGCATGGTCCCAACAGAGACAGCCCCGACCCCAAGAGCTTCACTGCAGAATTCTCCCAAAACCTAGGGAGGAAATAACCCCGGTTCTTTACAAACTCCGGGACACAGAAGGGAAGAGACACCTGCCAATCCCCCACAAGGCTGGCACTACTCCAACACCAAAACCAAAGACAGAAAACCATAGACCAGTACCCCTCACGCACGCACATGCCAAATATCAGCAAGCCCAGCCCAGAAATGCTCACAAGGTAATGCAACACGACCCGAATGCAAGGCTGCGCTGCTGGACGGGTCTGGCCCGCCATTTAACACCCAAAACTACGAAGAGAAGGGGCTCTGCGAGCCAATGGGGCGCGGGTTTGAAGACCCCAACCGGAACCATGTGTAAGAATGTGAGATGGAGCGCTGCCCCTACAGCTGGAGGCCTGAGCAGCTCTCCACTCACCACAACGCTCAAGGGCCTAACCAGAGCGATTGGTAACAAGAGGCGGCAGGCGGAAAAAAAAAATAAAATGCTTTTTATTCAAAGACGTGAGCATCTATTAAAAAAAAATCCAGAAGAGCCTAAATTAAATGTAGAAACGTATGACAGGCTGTTCACACCCAGCACAAGCCCCAGAGATTCCCAGGCACGGTCCCGCTGGTGTCTGGCGCTCACACCGACGTAGGCCCTCCACTGCCCGCCAGGACCCTGGGCAAGGCCTCTGCCCCCGCCACAGTCACCTCACCGGCAGCTCTATGAACCGAGAACTGCCAGGGCTGATGGTCCCCGTGCCCAGGGACCCGGACAGACCGGACGCTGCTGGGGCCACGGCATCCAGCACTGGGCAGCCCGCAGGGGCGTGGCTGACCCGTGCACCCCTCCCCCACAGGGGAACGCAGGCAGGGCAGGCAGGGCGCGGATGCAAGGGCGGCACTCACCCTGCCTGCGCAGCTGGTGCTCCTGCCGGCTCCCACGGGCCTCTGCGCTGGTCAGTGCCGCGCACAGCTGCTGCAGCTTCTCCTGGTTCTGCAGGTGCGTCATGCGCAGCTGGGCGCGCAGAGCCTGGATCTCGGACAGCAAGCTGCTCCTGTCTGACAGGCGAAGGTGCTCCAAGGACTTCTCCTGCAGATCTCCCCAGAGATGCGGCAGGAGAGGCGGGGAGAGTAGGGTCACAGACATGGCCACTAGCGGGCCTTGCGGTGGAGGAGCACCCCTGAGTGGGGAAACACGGGAGCCCGGAGCGCGTCCCAGGGGCGGGGGAGGCCAGGCCTGGCAAGAGTGGCGGCAACTCCAGGCACAAGCAGCCCACCAAATGCAAATTTGTGCCTCCAGCTTTGCGGGCACGAGCTTGGCGACGGAGCCTCATCCCCGACATGGTAAGAACAGGCTTGCAGGAGGATACCCGTGACAAACACGTGGTATATGGAACACAGACCTCACACACCTGTCCCCCGGGTCTATGCCAGAGTGACCTGCCATGGGCCCTGGCGCTCTGACCCTCCAACCCTGGGCTCAAGCGCTCACTGGCCTGGGTCAGGCCACTTAGCGCTGCTCTGTTTTCAAGGAAAGAACACAGTGGGGTTGACAAGGAGAATAAACGCACAGACGTCTCCACTTGATGGAATCATGATTAAACAGTGTTATGTTTGGACGGAGGCAGGACTTCTTCCTGGTCACTGCCACGTTCCAAGGTCAAATTCCCATGAACCGGTTCCGTCACCCCCTCTGCTGCAGGACTCTGGGAAATAAATCAAGGCACATGCTCACCTGCTGCTGCACCACCTTCTCTAGCCGCTCTAGCAGGGAGCTGTGGTCCCCGGGGTCAGAGCCGCAGGGCTGGGGCTGCCACTCGGCCCTCAACATCTCCCGCTCTTTTCCAAATGCCTCCTGCACAACCTGTAGAAATTCTCCTCTCCAATCAAGACACATGCCAGGAGGGTCCTAAAACATTGGGACAGGGAGCTCAGTATTCTTACAAATGCATCCTGTAGGCTGAACCAGAAACCACCCAACAGAAGAGCAGACATAAGCGAGCCCACGACCGTCCACGGCACAAGAAGCCAGCCCTGCTGAGGGAGAAGCCACCGAAGGATAGAGCACTGCCACACCACGAGGCCCAGCATGGGTGCTGCTGGCTGGCCACCTTGTCCCCTGGCAGGCCTAGGCCGGACACTGGGGTATTGCTTCCCTGCACACCCTGTGGCCAGTAGGTCCCCTTGGATGTGGTTCAGCACCTGGCCCTTACCGAGCTGCCCCGGTTCCCTGGTTGCAGAGTGGACACTGGGACCCTGTGGGCTCAGGCCCGGCCCCCACACCCGCCTCCCGTCATCCACCTCCAGCAGAGCTCCACCACGTGTCCTCCTCCCATAGCCTCTGCTGCCCTAATGGGGCCGGGCACGTGCTGGCCCACGGCTGGTCCCAGCAAACATGGCCGAGAGGGTGGCTGGCCAGGAACATGGCCCCGTGCCCACCGCTGACCCATCCCTTACTCCCTTTATCCCACTTACGTGGCTAAGCAACCCCCTCCAACTGCTCCTCACCCACACCTTATTCTCTTTCAGGTGGAACGCCCCGTACCTTCTCTCCCTTTTGGGGTACTAGGTTCGGATGTCTCCGCAGGGCCGGCACCGCCTCCAAAAGGCCGGGGCCCTCCCTCGGGAAGTGCTCAAGGGGGGCACTAGGCTCACCCTTGCTCAGGGCGCTGGGCGGCCCGCGGCACTCGGACAAGGCCAGTATGTGGTGGCTCTCGTCACACACCATCTGCAGCAAAGCCTGCAAGGGGACAAGCATTTCAGAAAGACGGAAAACCAGCTTGAAGCTACTCATCCGCCCAGTCCCCTGCCCATCACCCATGAACGCTCACCAGGGCGGCCTGCACAGCACTCCCATGACCTCTGAACCAAAGACCAAGTTCTGCAGTTCTGTAACATTCTGAACTGTCCCTCCCCTACAACCTTCAGAGGCTGCTAGGAAACCAGTTTGAAAGAGAATTTCTGGGTAGGCTACTCCAAGGACGGCCATCCCACCAGTGCCTGCACAGTGGACACCATCCCTACCACCCCTTCCTTAAGCTTGGGCGGGGCGCAGGGCAGGGCCTCGGGCCAACTTCTGAGGCCAGGTCATCAAGAGCCTTGCGATTCCCTGGCCCTCCTGGGACTGCACCTGCCATGCTCCAAGAAGGCTGCAGGGAACCGCACAGGAGGCCTGTGCATCCTTGGGGGTGAGGCGCCTGCATGCTCCAGTGCCTACAGTGGGGCCCAGACATGGGGAGCAGAGGGACGGTTGCCCTGACAAGTCCCTGCACGCAGGGTCTGTGAGCACTGGAACGGGTCCTTCACGGCACTGGGACACTGGGACACGCACACTGGCCACCTGTCTCCTGCCCGAAGACACAGACAGTGGAAGAAAGTGGCTTCCCCAGAACTATCCCTGGGGCAGGACCAATACAGGGTCCAAAGTAACCATCACGGGCCTCACTCCACACAAAGATTCATTCAAAGGGCATGTTATGTTTCAATCTCTGGGGAAAAAAGAGTAATAGATGCCTCAAACAGGAAGTATAAAAGTAGCAACAAAGGGGTTGGCTCGGTCAGTTCAGTGTCCGACTCCTGATTTCGGCCCAGTTTATGATCTCAGGGTCCCAGGATCGAGTCCTGTGTTGGGCTCCGGGCTCAGTGGGGAGTCTGCTTGAGATTCTCTCTCCTTCTGCCCCTCCCCCCACTAGCATGCGCACACTCTCTCAGATAAATCTTTAAAAAAAAGTTCAACACCCAAAAAACAACCCAGTTAAGAAATGGACAGAAGGCATGAACAGACGCTTTTCTGAAAGACATCCAGATGGTCAACAGACACATGAAAAAATACTCAACATCACTCGGCACCAGGGAAATCCAAATCAAAACCTCAATGAGATACCACCTCACACCAGTCAGAATGGCTAACAAGTCAGGAAACAACAGATGTTGGTGAGGATGCGGAGAAAGGGGAACCCTCCTACACTGTTGGTGGGAATGCAAGCTGGTGCAGCCACTCTGGAAAACAGTATGGAGGTTCCTCAAAAAGTAGAGCTACCCTATGACCCAGCAATTGCACTACTGGGTATTTACCCCAAAGATACAAATGTAGGGATCTGAAGGGGTACGTGCACCCCGATGTTTATAGCACAATGTCCACAACAGCCAAACTGTGGAAAGAGCCAAGATGTCCTCGACAGATGAATGGATAAAGATGTGGTTCATATATACAATGCAATGTTACTCAGCCATCAGAAAGGATGAAATCTTACCATTTGCAATGACATGGATGGAACTAGAGGATATTATGCTAAGCGAAATAAGTCAATCAGGGAAAGACAATTGTCGTATGATCTCACTGATATGCAGAATATAAGAAACAAAACAGAGGATCATAGGAGAAGGAAGGGAAAAATAAAACAAGATGAAACCAGAGAGGGAGACAAACCATGAGAGACTCTTAATCACAGGAAACAAACTGAAGGTTGCTGGAGGGGAGGGGGCTGGTGGGAGGGGGTAACTGGGTGATGGGCATTAAGGAGGGCACGTGATGTAATGAGCACTGGGTGTTGTATGTAACTCATGAATCACTGACCTCTACCTCTGAAACTAAAACTAATACTATATGTTAACTAAAATTTAAATTTAAAAGATGATTAATATTTTATTTTTAATGTATTTTAATGTCTTTTTCACCACCTACAGTGGGAAAGTTGACATGTATAAACACATCATGAGTTTTAAAAATAAGTAAGTAAGTAAATGTTTGGCAAAATTCCTCTGGGAGGTGGGAGAGTAGCAATGAAGAGGCTTATGACAGAGCACAATTAGCTAACTAGAAATAGGTTTTGCTAGGATTCTAATGATGTGACCCAGAAAAGTGGAATACTAACAAAAAGTGCTAAAGGCCCAACTACACATTATGTTTATTTTAAAAACACTTCATTTGGGGGCGCCTGGGTGGCTCAGTCAGTTAAGCATCTACCTTCAGCTCAGGTCATGATCCCAGGGTTCTGGGATCGAGTCCCACATCAGGCTCCCTGCTCCCTCTGCGCCTCCCCCACCCTGCTCATGCGCATGCTCTCTCTCAAATAAATAAATCTTGTAGAATCGTTTTATTTCGACTGTGCCATAACCGCGATGTAACCAGAACGCACCTACGAGGGGCACAGCATAACATACAAACTTGTCAAGTCACCAAGTTGTCTGTGCACCTGGAACTGGTAGAACGTTGGTGTCAACGATACTCAAAAAAAAAAAAAAAGTTTTCTTTGGAAATGCTTTCAGTTTCACAACAGTGACACGACATCATTTACTTACTCAGCCAAGTCTGTGTCAGTGGTTTGACACTGAAAGGATTTGCTAAACCGGCGAGAGAAAAGAGAACTTGTGGAAAGTGCCACAGACAGTCTGCCCCGGGTGACGGAGGTGCTAACTAACCTCACTGCGGGGTCACTGCATCTTAAACTTACTGTCACGCATCAATTAAAACTAGAACAAAGTTGTTTTAAAAGTCTGCTCCAAGTTAAACTGCCGCATGCAGACCATGGCTTCCCTCCTCCCTCCTCTGGTGAGGACTTGGCTCTGAGCCCAGAGCACCAAATTCTTCCGGTGTGGACTGTGAGTGGGCGACAAGGACTCAGCTCTGTGGCCAGGTGGGCAGCACGAGGGGGCCCTCGGGGAGGCGCCTGCAGGGCCAGCACAGGGGCGGCGGGCAGCTCACACAGCGGGCTAGTCTGTCTGCTCTGTGGCTCGGACCCCTGCAGGCGCCTGGCGGAGGGCGGCCCAGTGGTGAGCACATGCCACACTCGTCTTAGGAGAGGCCAAAGGTCAATCTCCAGGACCAAACAGAGGGTCGTGCGTTCTGATACCTGAACTCAAGTCAGGAAGACTGACCCCAATTACAGCACCTGCACCTGCAGGCCCACTGTGCTCTGTGCAGCAGCAGGTGCGGGAAGAGCTGGTCCTCCTCCGGGGACCCCAGTGCCCGAGGCTCCCGCAGCCCCACCAGCCCGCCGTGCCAGGCCCTCACCTGGGACACCCATCCCCACGCACCCCAGGACAGCAGCCATCTCACTCCGGAAACACTCACACGAGACGTGAGTCCAAGCCCAGCTAGAACCGACGCAGCGGTCTGTGCGGGATGATGCACGCAACCCAACGCCACGCACCCTCCCAGCAACCACAGCAGCTGCAGATGGAGGCACATGGTCACTGCACACCCTCACCTTCACTTGTTTCGGATGCACTTCCTTCTCCTTCATGGCTTCCACCGGCCGTCGGAACCTTCCAGAGGTGGGAGGAGGCACTGGAGGACTATCAGTGGGAGTTTCAAGTCTTCCCGAATCTTGGTTTAGTATCTTTCCAAACCCCGAGCCATCACCTAAAAACACAGCACAAAGTCAGGGTCTGAACCACAATTCTCTGGCAGCATTCCTGGGGGAGGGTCCGGTGGGGAGGGGCACCCAGCGAGAGCCAGGGGTGTGGTCAGACCCCGGCTTCCTGGTGCTGCGTGAGGCCCCAAAACACCCAGAAGAGCTACAGCCAGGGCTCCCCTCCCTGAAGACATCAACAAACCACTGAAGAAGGCAAAAATAGTTTTACAAATCCGTAAGATGACATAACTACACACATTAAGAAAAAGCATATTTTGCATGTTTGGTATGTGAATACCCATGATTCCAACATAAACCTTATGGGATCTCAGGACATTTGTAAACAGATGCAGAAGTGGGTTTCCTCATCCCCCAAAGACAGGACCCAAGCCCGCAGGGCTCACACAGGAAGCGCCTGGGCAGACCAACATGTGCGGGGCCTGTATCTCCACACCCAAGGAAGGGATGGAGACAGGGCAGGGCCCCAACGCGTGCAGAGAGAGGAGGGGGACAGGAGATGTACGGCGCCAACCGCAGGGCCATGTGCAGGCAGCAGGTCGAGCAGCAAGCATCTGGCCGGGAAAAGGTGAACACACCTGATGGGGGGTGGGTGGAGACAAGCTCTGAGACCAGCCAGGCTGGACTGGAGAGCCCTCAAAAGTCTAGGGTTTGAGACACCAGAAACCCCTCATGGGAGGGCCTCAGAAAAGAATTCCAAACCTCTCTGAAGTACGTGGTGCGTCCCTTGCAGCCCGCAGCCAATGCCCAGAGGGTTGGAAAACAGAGGGAGGCAGCCAGGGAAAAGCAGGATCAGCCTTTGGGGCTGCTCCACTGACCGGCCCCGAGCGTGGGTGGGAATGGGGGCTCAGAGACCCTGGCATGGCGCCTCCCAGCACAGACCTTCCAGCAAGCTGCCGAGACCACCCTAAGGAGTCTAGGTTCTTAAACTTGCCAAGGAATGCGCAAAAGACAGCATGAAACAGGGACTCAGAGACCGCTGGGGGAGATACAATAAAGGCAGCAAACACAAAAAAACTTCAGAAAAACCAGAATATCTTCAGAGAAATAAGTCTCATTCGTGGAACAAGGAAGTTTCAAGAGAAAGGAACAGAGAATAAGAAGAGCTCTTAGAAGTTAAGACACAGCAGAAATGAAAACATTCACTTCCAAGCTTAAGAACTAATTTCTTAAAAGGTTCTTTAACAAGAACAAAAGTACAAAGAAATGGAAACAGACAAAGTGAGAAAGTAAGAAAATCAGTCCAGTGATTAACAGGAAGTACAGCAAGGTGAGAGCCAGGGGGCAGTACCCCAAGGAACAGTGAAGACCTATTCAGGATGAAGGACATGCTCAGGAGCATGGCATCACGTGGCAGCCGCGGTGCTCTGTGACACCAGGCTCTGGGACAGTGGTCAGATGCTCTGGAGTCTGAAGGAATGTGACTTCTCACCTGCAAGTCTGCACCAAGCCCAAACCATCAACAAACATCAGGAAGATGCAGAAGTTCTTAGAAAACCCACCTCACAGGTGCGTTTTCTGCAAATGCTTCTAGAGAACACTACTTAAAATAAGGACCACAAAGGAGGGACAAGGGGTCTGACCCAGAAAGCGGAGACAGCATGTTCAGAAGGTGACATGGACAGCGCACACCCATGCTTGCGGACAGCGTGGGCAGGACCCGTGACGGAGAACGGGAGGGAGGCAACGAGAAAGGGAAACCGACTGTCTGGGAGAGGACACTCAGTCCCAGACGTTCTGTGGGAATCTGACAGGTGCACTCAAAACACAAACACTCTGTGGTGAGGGGACAGGACAGGACAATGGGGCCCCCTTAGGAAGACGGGGAAGGGAAGTGTAAGAAACTGGCAGCCAGAACTTCTGTAATTAGCAAATGTGATTTAGCAATAAATTCTGGAACAGAATTCTCAAAATTAAATGTGGGTGTCCTCAGGGAACGGTGGTTTGGAGTGGGGGCAGCTGGAAGGCACCTTGCAGAACAGCTCGATTCTTAAACCAGGCACTTACCACATGGAATAACTCAAAACTAGAATTGAAACGTTGCTGGCCCCACTCAGTACAAGCTGAAATGCCAATGAACTTTACCTCACTGTGGTCTAGTTTTCAAAAGCACTGAACTGAGTCAATGATGACTTTTTTAAAAAAAGTCAAAACATCTCAACAGGTGATTAACTTGTAAAAATCCAACAATTACAGAAGAACAAGGTTAGAAGGTCATGGTTTGGCAACCATTCTAATGATGATCCAGGCGACAATCACTCCTGGAGGCTAACGTGAGTGGGTCTGAGTCTGAGAAACAAGAATCACAGGCATGGTCTCGTAACCCCCTGCCCAACACCAAGCAATCGAAAAGGAAAAATCAGAACAAAACCTGGCACACACCACTGCCAAGGGGTCCAAGCGGGACACTGCAAGCCCTGTGCCGTGATGCCCTCGGAAGACCATGGCATCAATGTGGGACACCCATGCTACGACGCTGCTCCAGATACCCAAACGAGATGCAAAACTGCTGGAAAGGTGAGGGGCTCCCTCTCAGGACCCGCACAGCACAGCCTCCCTCCCACAATGCAGTGCCCAGCAGCAAGGGACATCTGAATGCCTTGTACCAGCGCAGTACCCCTTCCCATGAAGGGTGCCAATGGGACAAGTGGCAAAATCTAAGGAAGGTCTGTAGTTGAGAGGCTGCCCTGGGCCACGGCAGACGTCCGGGTGCTGAGTGCAGGGTCTGAAGGTGCACAACTGAGTTTTCCAGAGTAACATGACCTCAGGCCTTCAGGTGCCACTCAGCACAGAGAGGAGATGGAGCCGGGCACAGCCAGGGTGCACCAGCAAACACCAACCTGGGGGCCGTCCATGCTGTCCTGTTCCCTGAAACCTTAAGAGGTAAAAAAAAAAAAAAAAAAAAAAAAAAAAAAGACTGACTCACTGTTTTCACTTCCATTGTTCTTTCCTTCAAACCCGAGAGGAGAGGATCTGGGCTTTTCTTGAGCATCAAGAGATGTTACAATAAAGTCTTCAACATCTTTCTCCTGTTCAAACAGGCAAGTTTTTAAATGGTCATAAAATAACCACCAATCACACCAGGGAGCTGAACTAGCCAGACAGAAACTTTCTAAGGCCTGAATTTATCATTTTCCCATACAGAACCCAAACAAGAGTGTTTCACATCTGAAATCATGTGCTTCTAAGAATTTAAACAAACCCAGCCACGGTTCTCTAGGATAAAGAAGTCACCAGCAAATATGTCAGATTAAAAAAAATCTGTGGTAGCATGATGGGGATATGGGTATCTTAAATATCATGTTCCCTGAGACTTTTTATTTTCTCTAACCCAGGATATGCAAAATCTCAACATTATTCTGTAAAAAAAGATACAGTCTAACTCAAAAATAATTTTTTTAAATTAATTAGCATTATATGTAGAACCTATTCAATATGAACTACAACTGAAAACAAATCTAGAAAACACACTCTAGACAAAGAACCTGAATGAAAACTACACACGAAGGCGGGTTTGTGCCTGTGCTTCTCGAGTCAGTGCTAGTGAGCGCACAGAGGCCTGGCCTGAGTATCTGAGTGGGACTGGTGCATCACACATATTTTTAGGAGTAACTGAAGTCCTCTAATTATTCGTATCACAACGGACTGGGGTTGGTGCTGCACAAAGCGGACTGTCCCTATACATGGCTGACTGGGGGCTGTCAGGTACGCGCCCACACCGGGCCACCAGCCCCACCAGCAGATGAACCAACAATGGTTGCAACTATGATCCTGCAGGCGCTGCAGACACATTCCCATGGGGACACTCTGGGGCCCTAGGCACCCACCACAGAGAGCAAACCAGGGCAGCACCCAGGGACCACTTACCACAGCCATCCGCTGCACATGTTGGTCAGCAGAGGGAGCTCTTTCTACAGCCAATGGAGACTCTGCCCACCTGGAGGCCTTTCCTGCTGCTGAGCCGCCCAGGGACCAAAGCAGCTCCAAATGGTCAGCCTGGACCGAGGCACTGGTCCTGTCCTGCAGGGAGGCGTCCGAGCTCAGGGCATCTGAGCATGGCGTCAGGGGCAGGCTGGGCGCGGGCTCAAGGGTCGAGTCCTTCCTGACAACCTCCGGGGAGCTCCAGGAGGATAGATCCACTGCCCTGAGTGCGTTCTTCAAGGGCCCGGGCCCCTCTGTATGGGTTAGGTCATGGCAGCCAGCGTGGAAGCCTGCTTGTAAACAAAGTGATCCGTCCTGCAAATCAACCTGATCTTCCATGGCAACATTTGACATTTCATTTTTTATCAGTGGATCCTGATTTCCACTAAGGTCAATTAGATCACACATGGTTTTGTCGCTAAGAAACGCATCCACAAGAGTCGATTTGCCAGTTTCTTCACCGTGACTAGAACTATCACTCGAACTACTTTCTAAAGCATGTGAAGATGCCACCAGCTGCTGATGTTTGAAATCCTCTGTCTCGATGTTCTCCAAGTTCACAGAATACACCAGACGGTTCAACTTTTCTTGAAGCTCTTTCACCTGACTTATGAGACCAACTTTCTGCAGCTGACAATCTTCCAGTAGTTTTTCCTTATTCTGCACGTAAAAAGGAACATGCATAAACTAAAATAATTGAATTACGCATAGTCACGTCTGTCTGTCTGGTATTTATAAGCCAATTTCAGAGGCTATCTGAGCAGTTAAGAAATGAGCCTCCATGAGGAGCCCCTGGGTGGAGATTTTAAGCTTTTTCAATTCCACGAAAGACAGACTCACAGCTGAGAGCCCCCTGCCTACACGGTGACTGCTGCAGAGGACTCTGGGAAGGAGGCAGAGCAGGAAGCACCAGGAACCTGTCTCCCACCTGGGCACCAACTGCACTGGCAGAACCGTGCCTACCCTATACAACTCTGGAGTCTGTCCAAGGCTTGCAACTTCCCGGGGGGGGGGGGGGGCTTGGGGGTAAACTGCAGTCAATCTGGATCACTTTCAGCTCCTCGCACTGGAGCAGTTACCCATCCCTGGACCCCCAGCCCCTTGGCAGGTTGGTGTGCACCCTTTCCTGGAGCATCTTGCACATGATGTGTGCGAGCCACAGTGGGCAAAAGGGGCTATCCCACAAATACTGGGCATCTGTGCTCTGACTGCGACTCTGGACCACGGAGGAGCAAAGAGGTGTGAGGCCATTGTTGCGGCCCCTCCCCCTCTGGCTGAAGTGACCCTCCGGGGGGTTTAAAGGGCCAGTGCCCTTTTTCCCACCACAGCATTCTTCTTTTTGTGGAGAACTTAAAAACCAGAACATTCAAAAACAACTGCATATATAGAGGAAATGAGAAAGTGACCGTGAGTGCCCAGGTAAAGGTGCAGACCGACTAAGAAAATATGTGAGAAGACCTGAAGTTGATACTTCAAGCTGATCCTCGGCACGGAGACAATTAAAAAAAAAAAAAAAAGGAACAATAACAAAAAACAGCAAGCTATGAGGAAGGAGATTCAGATTTCCAAACTGACATTATTAGACTCAAATGTTCAGTGTTCAAAATCAAACCAGAAGAAAAAGTACCCCAAGGCATACAAGGAAACAGGAAAGTATGGCCCATTCAAAGGAAAAAAGCAAATCCAAAGGAACTGTCCCTGAAAAAGACCCAATGTCAGATCTACTAGTCAAAGATGTTACGACAATGGTCTTAAAGACATTCGAGGAACTAAAGGAAGATGTGGAGAAGGTCAAGAAAATCATGTGTGTACAAAGTAGAAATATCCATGGAGACAAAGACAATCTAAGGAAACCAAAAAGAAACTGTGGAGCTGAAAAGTACATTAATTGAAATAAAAAATTTACTAAAGGGATTCAAAGGCAGATTTGAGAAGGAGAAAGAATGAACTGAACTTAAAGACAGAATAATGGAAATGATCATGTCTGAGGGAAAAAAAAGAAAAAGAGACTGACAAAAGTGAATTCAGACTACGGGACCTGTGGGACACCAGCAAGCAGACCAACATACGCATTGTGGGAGTCCCAGAAGAGGAGAGAAAGGTGGCTGAGAAATTCTGTGAGGACATAATGACTGAAAACTTCCCAGAATTGGTGAAAGACACAAATATAAACATCCAAGAAACTCAACAAATCCCAAAAAAGATGAACTCAAAGAAACACACACCAAGATACATTATAATCAAATGTATAAAAGCTGAAGGCTCTAAGTGACTTGTCACATACAAGGACCCTCACAACATCACCAGCAGATTTCTCTTCAGAAACTGGAGGTCAGAGAACAGAGAGTCAGTATATTCAAAGTGCTAAAAGAAAAAACCAGTCAACTAAAAATCCAACATCCAGCAAAACTGTCCTTTAAGAGTGAAGAAGAAATTAAGATATTCCCAGATAAATAAAAGCTAAAGAAGTTTGTAACCACTATACCTGCCCTGCAAGAAACACTCAAGGGAGTCCTGCAGGGTGTAATAAAAGGTCGCTAGACGGTAACTCAAGGTCACGTGGCAAAATAAAGATCTCAGTGAAGGTAAGTGCATGCACAATAAGAAAAGCCAGTGCATTAGATTGTACACCTGAAACTAACAGAACACTGTAAGTTAAAATACTTGAATTTTTTAAAAAGTTTGTGCTGTTACAACAGTGGCGTGCAACTCCACATTTTGTTTTCATCATGATTTAAAAGACACACTTTTTAAAAATGGTCTAAAAGTTAGTTTGTTAACTTTAGTTTGTAACTCCATATTTTTTCTATATAAAAATTAATGGATTTAAAACAATTATCAGTTTTAGGTTTTGAGGCACAAAAGTATAAAAATGTGCTTGTGACATCAAAAACCAAAACGGGTAGGGGAGAGCTATAAAGGAACAGTTTTCATAGTTAAGCTGGTATAAATTCAAACCACAGTGTTATAATTCTGGACGCTAAATGTAATCCCTAACATAACCACACACACAAAAAATAGCTATAGTATATACACAAAGAGAAATGAGAAGGGAATTTAAACATTTCAGTATAAAATGTCAACTAAGCACAAGAGAATACAGTAATGCAGGAAATTAGAACAAAAGAAAGCTATAAGGCATATAGGAAACAAAGAGCAAAATGACAAAAATATATGCCTCCTTATCTGTACTTTTAATGTAAATGGATTAATCTTTCCCATCAAAGACGGAGAACGGCAGAATGGATAAAAACACATGATCCTGGGGTGCCTGGGGGGCTCAGTCTGTTCAGCATCTGACTCTTGATTTCAGCTCAGGTCATGATCTCAGGGTTGTGGGATCGAAAGCCCCACTTCAGGCTCCTGCTCAGTGGGGAGTCTGCTTCACTCTCTGCCTCTTCCCCCCCACTTCATGCTCGCATGCTCTCTCTCTCTCAAATAAATAAAACCGTTAAAAGAAAAAAAAGAAGCAGAGGAATGCCTCCTGACTCATGGTATGAGTTCAGCAGTACCTTGATACTAAAGCTAGAAAAAGACACTACAAAAATGAAAACCGTAGACCAATATCCCCTATGAACATTGATGCAAAAATTCTAAAATACTAGCAAACTGAATTCAATACCATATTAAAAGGATTATACACTCTAACCAAGTGGCGTTTATTCCTGGAATGCAAAGATAGTTCAACATAGGAAAACCAATCTACATAATACACCACATTAGCAAAATGAAGGAGAAAAAAATCACATGACTGTCTCAACTGGTGCAGAAAATGCATCTGACAAAGTTCAACACCCTTTCATTATAAAGACATTCAACATACTAAAAGAAAACTACCTTAACGTATAAAACCCATACATGAAAAACATACAGTGTACATCATACTCAGTGGTGATGGACTGAAAAGATTTTCCTCTAACACCAGGAACAAAGCAAGAATGCCTGCTTTCACCACTTTTCTTCAACACAGTACTGGAAGTTCTAGCCAGAGCAAGAAAAAGAAATAAAATGTGTCTCAACTGGAAAGGAAGAAGTAAAATTATCTACGTTCTAAGATAATATGATTGTGTATGTGTGAAACAAAGATTCCACTAAAAAAAAAACCCTGTTAGAATTAATAAATCAATTCAGCAAAGTCACAGGATACAAAGTCAACATATAAAAATCAGTTGCATTTCTACCCACCAACAATGAGCAATCGGAAAAAGAACTGAAGGAAACAATTCCATTACAATAGCAACAAAAAAGAAGAAAATGATTAAGAATTCACTGTACCAAGGAGATGAAAGTTTTGTACAATGAAACTATAAAACGTTGCTGAGACAAATTAGGGAAGACAAATAAATGGAAGCATATTTCACATTTATGGATTGAAAGACCTAATACTGTTAAGATGTACAGATTCAATACAATCTCTATCAAAATTCTAAGGACTTTTTTGCAGAAACAGAAAAACCCACCCTAAAATTCAAAGAGTCAAAACAATCTTGAAAAAGAACAAAACTGGAGGACTTATAACTATTTGATGTCAAAACTTATAATCAAGCTCCAGTAATCAAAACAGTGTGGTACTGGTGGGTGGCTCAGGCTGTTAAGCGGCTGCCTTTGGCTTAGGTCATGATCCTGGAGTCCCAGGATCAAGCCCCATGTCAGGCTCCCTGCTCAGCGGGGAGTCTGCTTCCCCCTCTGTCTCTGTCCTCCCTCTGGCTTGTGCTCTCTCACCTGCTCACTCTCTCTAATAAATAAAATCTTAAAAAAAAGTTAAGATGTGGGGCACCTGGCTGACTCAGTGGGTGGAGTGTGCGACTCCTGATCTTGGGGTTGTGAGCTCAAGCCCTACGTTGGGCGTAGAGATCACTTAACAAAAAAATAAAATCTTTTTTTTTAAAGATTTTTCCATTTGAGAGAGAGAGAGAGGAAAAAAACATACACGAGTGGGAGGGGCAGAGGGATAGGAAGAGAGAATCCCAAACAGACTCTGCACTGAGCGTGGAGCCTGACACCGGGCTTGATCTCACCACCCTGAGATCACAACCTGAGCTGAAACCAAGACTCAGAAGCTCAACCAACTGTGCCATCCAGGCGCCCCAAAAATAAAATTTAAAAAAAAAAAAAGGTTAAAATATAACTCTTAGATTATATATATTTTACCACATGCACAAAAAAGGCAACTATCATTTCTGTGGTAATTTACTGAGAACATAAGCATTTTTCTTTTTAAAAGGGAAAAAGGGCCTGGAAGATTCTATATGCAAACATTGAAAAATATAAAATTGTGGGGCGCCTGGCTGGCTCAGTTGGAAGAGCATGTGACTCTTGATCTTAGGATCACAAGTTCAAGCCACACATTGGGTGCAGAGATCACTTAAATAAAAACTAAAAAAAAAAAAAATCGTGATTTATGGAATGAATCTGCAATTTCCTTATCAGTGTATAACTTCTAAGAATTTGGCAATCAGCTCATAATCACAAGGCTGAGCTTTCTCTTAAGAATTCAAACAAATGTTCTTATCCCAAGGGCAGTGAGAGAAGTTTGCTGCAGTTAGAAAGTCCTCTCCAAATAGAATTAAATGTCCTGTGGGGATTTGATAAACCTATAAAACCAGACTCAGGCATCTTCTATCAAAACTGCAGGCACGGTCCACGCACCCGCTCTGAAACCACCTGTAGAATTCAGAGCCTTCTCATTTTACAACAGGAATGTGGTGTGTACGGCACATCACAGGAGAGCTCCCGGGAAGGGAGAACTGGACTGTCCTGCCAAACCGTGCAGTGTCTACAGCAGCAGAGTCACTGGAGGCTCAAGAGAACTATAGATCGAAGCACACTTTGCCACTGCACTTAGGAAACCCTCCAAACCAGCCACTTTAGATTTTCAGAACATCCCGACCCTGCAACACTTGATGTGGCCGATGTGCAGCGTTCCCAACCCAGGAGAAGAAAAGCCAGCTCTCCTGCTGCTGCCTTCCTGGTGATCAGAATTTTCAAACTGTTGCATTCCAGATTATTGTGCTCTTCTCTGCTGGGAGCACAAGTCAAAACATGCAGGAAAACCCTGAGATTCAAAAAATACCGTGAGCCCTTCAAAGTAACAGATGCTGGTGATAAAGGCCTTGAGCCACAGCGCAACTGTGTGGGCAACTTGTCCTCGCATGAAAACCCCAGAGACAGGCCTTAGAGCCCGGTTAAATCCTACTTGTATCATTACCAGACAGAAGTAACCGATTGCTCATTTTCCCCAGGCTGAAAAGACCATGGGAAATGTGCATTTCTAGAGAACACCTAAATAAAACGTGTAGGAAATTTCAGAACAGATCTGAAGAGACGACTATAAGAACATGACAGAGCTGCTGTCTGAGGTAACATGCATGTCACCTCTGCAAAAATGTCAGTGACGTCTCTGCCCACACAGCAGCATGGGCCGTGTGCCCAAGTACCTTCATCCTTCCTGGCACTTTGCCATGGTCCTCTGTTCTCAAGTGCATCTTGTTCTTCACCAAGAGCAGCTCAGACTCCATCACGTTGTCTTGTTCGTGCAGACCCGGGTGGTTTAACGACACCGGGGCTTCGGCAGGCTGCAGATCATCATTCATTGCCCTCTACAGTAAGCGGAGAAAACAACAACAATGCTCGTGAAGATAAAGCTGAAGGCACCAGAGCCCAGTCCCTGGGCTGCCTCGGACTCCCCAGAGCTCTGGAGCTGGACCCCGAGGCAACGTCCCCGTTTCCTACAACACGAAGAACATCGGACCAGAGCTGTGCCCAAAGTCCTGCTGCCTGCTCACTGCCACTGCAGGTGAGGATGAGCTCCTAGCCTGGGGCTACCAGGACACAGCACCAGCTGGGCCACCCCACAAAGCACAGGCCAACAGGAGCTGCTGACAGCCTGGACATGGCACACGGCAGCAGGCAGTGAACCCCAACTTCTACTCAAAACCAAAGTACAGCATGTCCCAAAATGAAATGAGCTTACCATGTTTTACACAGGAAATCAGTGTTAAAAAAATAAAGCAACTGGTTAGAACTCAGAAAGGAAAATCCAGGGAGCCTGTGTAACACAAAGCCATCTCCACATCTCCATCTTATCCAATGTTCCCAATCACAGGACTCTGAAAACCTTAATTAAATAACTTACAACAGTCAGTCTAAAGCTGTATGAAACTGAAACCCCTGGTGCGATTTCACCGTGTACACAACGTTCTGAGACTTGAGGTTCTATGGACCCTGAATGCACCCAGGAGCCACGAGCTTCAGGTTCATCTCTACCGCATCAGGAGCCTCCCCACGGAAACTGCATCCCCTGCTGCCTACCACAGAAAGGACACGCTTTCAAATTTAAAAAGAGGAGGAACAGTAAGTTCTCCTTGAGAGAAGCTCCAACCCCCTGGTCTAGCCATAGTGCTCGGCCACCCGTAGCCTGGGTCAGGGCCTCTTACGGGGTCTCCCCATGTATGCCCCCGCTCCCCCAGCACGCCACAGCTCCCTATGCACAGATGCTTCACCTCCGGCAAACCAGCAAGAGGGGTCCTCTGACATGGCCATGGGGGCCTGCTGGCTGCATCCTGCTGCGACTCTTCGTCACATGCGGCCTCCTCAGCCCTGGGGCCCCATCCCTGGGAGCTACCCTCCACGCGAGAGTGCAGGCGGGCCCCACACGCCTGCCGCTTGCCCAGCCCCTTCTGGCAGCTCAGGAACTGCTGGTTCCGCACCTGCAGCTGGCTGCTGAGGCGGACACACTGCGCTCGGAGCCCCTGCAGCTCCGGGGGCTCATGCTCAGCGGCCAGGGCAAGGCAGAAGCAGGAGAAGGCCATCACGACGGTCTCCAGCTCAGCGGAGTGGGCCAATTTTTGCTGCTTCATTGCGACGATCGCTAAGTCCCTTTCTGTGACCTTGGCCTCCTTTGCCTGCAGGGCAGCTTTGAAGGCGTGGATCTGAGAGGCCAAGCCCTGGACCTCAGCCTCCTGGAGGGCCGCGCTGCCCTCCAGCTCGGCCCACTGCCTCGCGGTGGCCTCCTCTGCAGCCCACAAGCGCTGTGGCAGGGCCTCCAGGGGGAGCCGCTGACCCGACACCCCTGCTGCTGCCCGTGCCTCAGGCCCCACGGTGGGGTCACCCAGCAGCCCGCTAACCTCGGCCCCGTGCACCGCGGGCCCCCCGCGCGAGAGCTCTCTCTGCAGCCTCTCGATGACTTCGTGGAGCTGCTCCACCTCCTCTGCCTTCTCTCTCTGCAGGCGTTGCTGGTTGTCTCGCAAGTTCTCAATGATGGATCTCAGCTCCTCGATCTCTGAGCTTCTGTCACACGGGACCTGAGGAAAAAGCACATTCAGACGCGAAAAACATGTTTCACCTTCAGAACGTCCCTCCTCCAGCTTGCCAGGATTTCACAGCTGTGGGAACGTTTACTTCTTGGAAACACCCAAATGCTGCCCCCCAGCTCTGTCAGACGCGTCAAACTGCTCACAAGGTCACACAGCCGCTGTGTCACCACCTGCTCGGACACCTGGTTATAGCTGTGCACCCGCCGCGGGTGGGGCAGCGCAAACTGGCCGCTTCCCCACGGCACCTCCGCACAAACGCCGCCACCTTTAGAACGTACGCTTCCTTAATGCTAAATGGGATAAATTACAGATAGAAATTACTAACAGGAGATTTTAGGGGTCATTCCAACACTAGAATAAGAGTGAAGTAAGGAAATCAGGCTCGGGACCGAGCCAGGCGCACACGCGGGGCTGCCCCTGCTCCGGCCGGGCACTGTAACACCCCAGACCTCGGAGCGTGTCATCACTTGTGCCACTGAATGACATCCTCAACAATTTTAAGGTAAGAACTGCCGTTATACATACTTTGAAGATAACACAATTGAAACTCAGATGTTAAATATCCAGTAAAGACTTCAAAGACAGGAAACGGAAAATCAGACTGAAACGGTTATCGACAGGGCTCCAAACTCCATTCTCGTAAGACTATACCACTAACAGCGACAAACCCGTTTACGCTCCACTTAACAATCCTCAGCCAATTTCTTAAAGTCCAATGTTCACTTCCCAAAAATTGAGGGTTTCTAACAATTATTGGTTTCACTAGTACCACTTAACGCCCTTAAACTCAAAATCAAATCTGGCCAATACTGAAAACAAAAGTAAGAAAACAGGTGAATTTTTGGTTGTGACTCAGATGGCATCAGCAGGCCACTGCACACATCTAGGTGCTGTGTTGTGAACGGGACAGTTAGCAAAAGGAACTCTGGCGGGGGCGGCAAGCCCCTTGGCCAGCCCGTGTATGCCCTGCACGTACGGACGACTGCTGGGACTCTCCAGAGTGACTGCACTCACTGCACTAAGGACACGGGATGAAAAAGCACGCACTACAAACCAGCCACAATCACGACACAAACATAAACCCAGCACGGGAAGGTCTCTGATGGGTCCTCCGGGTTACAGGGCAGATGGGGCAGGCGAGGCCGGCGAGGGGCAACACTGGTTGCCCGAAAAAGGAAGACCACGCAGGCTGGGAACTGAGAACACGGGTGGACACGCGGGCCAAGAGCACGCACGTGTGGTCCCCCTCTGGCTGAGGTGGTTCCTTGCAACGCGGGACGCTGCGAAGGTGATGAGGCCTGAGTGCCAGCCACCCCCAGGGCGGCCAGCAGGGGTGCACGCGACCCAGCGGCAGCGTCGCAGGGGGGCAGCTGTCCCTCAGCGAGCGCAATTCAGTGCAGAACCATGGTCTGGAGCATCCAGCCCCGGAAAGGCCTACCTCGCTGAGAGCACCACCTCCCATCCCAGCCAGCTGCACCTCGAGCTGTTCGCTCACACACATGATCTCCTTTTCTCTGTTTTGCAGAAACGCCTGTGGAAATACAATAACCACGCCAACAAAACGGGACTGTGGGGGCAGCCCGTGATCTGGCAGACGGGAAGCACCCCAACAAGCCACAGTTTTAAAGACTAACACTCAATCTGGAAACGGTTTCCCATTTACTACTGACTAGGGAAGGAGTCCCACCAGGAAGACGCCTGCTGCCTGGGGTTGGCCTAAAACCCTGTTTTCACTGAGGTCACACACACAGCCTGGGAGGGTCCACATGAACCCCACGCCCTGAGTGTCTTCCAGCGCCTTCAGTTCACGCACCGACAGCTGCCAGGGTGCCACAGGCGAGGGCTCGGCACTAAGGCCGTTTCTTTACAACTTGGTTCCCCACTAAAGCATGTTAAGATAACAGAAGATTTAAAAACAGAGTTTTTGGGGGTCACCTGGGCAGTTCAGTCGGTTAAGCACCCGACTCTTGATTTCAGCTCAAGTCATGGTCTTGGGGTCATGAGACTGAGCCCCATGTCGGGCTCTGCGCTCATCAGGAGTCTGCTCAATTCTCTCCTTCTGCCCCCCACACCCACTCTACGATCAATCGATCTCTTTTTCATCCTGCTCTTAGCAAAGATTAACAATGAGCAGCTATTTAATAAAAGTCACCTCTTCTAGATCAGGGGACCCTTTAATGACCCAAATTAGATCAAAGGTGACAATTTATTTCCTCTTCACAGTTTCTGCCATCAGAGGGCTGCGTCTCTCCTCCAGTGAGTCCCACAAGCGTCCTCTAAGACCGGGCTCCCAGAGCCGCATGCAGGACGCGGAGGGTGGTGCCCGAGGGACGCAGCATCAGGGTGGCTCTGGGCTCCGCCCTGTGCTGCACCTCCCAGAGCCGCCCCAGCTGCCGACCTCATAACAGAAGGCAGGCACCTCCCGAAACGGTGGCGGAGGGCCATCCTCGGTCTCCACGACGTCTGCGCCGCGACCCAAGGCCCCTGGGGCCGGCTGTAGCACGGACGTAACCAACATGAACTCAGGTGTCTGGGTGGGTCTCTCCGGTTTACCTTCAAGCTGGCGTTCTCCTCTTGAAGTTCCCGCACTCTGACAGCAGCACGGTGGCTCTCTGCGTCTAATTTCAAGTTCAGATGCAGCACTTCATTGCTCTTACTTACTAAGTCATCTTTAATTTTTCCTAATTGTTCTTTTAGGTCCAAAACCTTTCATTGAAAGAGAAAATATTAAAGATTATCTAATATCCTAAATCACTCAATAATTATTATATTACTCTAAAACATTTAAAAGTACAGGTCACGAAGAGTTATTCACGTTTTGTAACTGTTAAAATCACGAAGTGTAGTATACGGCAGGCACAGACCACCTCCCAGTGGGTGTCCTGCACTCACCAGCAGCCCGAGCAGATGGAGCCCTCAGAGCCCCCGACACTTACCTCGCTGTCCCGCTGCTGGAGCACCTTCTGAGCCGCCTCCAGAAGGGCTTCCGGGCCCTCAGGACAGCTGCCTGCAGGAGGCACAGGGCATCTGCCCTCATCGAGTTTGGACTGCAGTGTGGACACCAGCAGCAAGTTACTCATCTGCTGCTCCCGTAATGCCTCTTTATCCTGACGGAAAAGAAAAAGGGGGGGGGATTTAATTTAGGTAAGTATTTTAGGAATCGGGGGGCCTCAAACTGTGATATGAGTGCACAGTGTCCTCAGATCCTCCTGGTGCTCAGATGAGCACGCCTGTGCATGCCAGACACGTGATCCAGCCCAGCCGTGCTCCAGAGCAGAGATCCACCTGGTAAAAGATGTGATCCAGACAGAGAGCTGCACTGTGCGCCTGTGATTCCACTGGTAATTGTTCAAGAAGATGCAATATAGTCTCTAGACTACTGGCTATTACCAAAAAAAAGGTAAAGAGCTTGTCCAAAAATAGGGTAACAACTGACAATGACATTGTCCAACTGTATAATGCACATTAATGTCTCATTAAAAAGTTTTCAAAGAACATTTACTATGAAGAAATCAGTCACAACAAATTAAGTGGAGAAGTTACATAAGTGGTTCAACTTTGTGGAAGGGAAAAAGGCATTTTCTATACCTGTAGCATCTAATAAGCTCAAGAAATGTTTACTGAGGGAAAGAGGGAGGGATGGAGGAGGGAGGAAAGATGGAGGGAGGAAAGACAGAGGGAGCAGAGGTGGGGGGAGAGGGAGGAGGGGTGAAGGGAGGAGGCAAGGAGGGAGCAGAGATGGAGGGAGGAGAGATTGAGGAATGGAGGAAGTAGAGGTGGAGGGAGGAGGGATGGAGGAATGGAGCAGAGGTGGAGGCAGGAGGGACGGAGGGAGCAGAGGTGGAGGGAGGAGGGATGGAGGAATGGAGCAGAGGTGGAGGGAAGAGAGATGGAGGAATGGAGCAGAGGTGGAGGCAGGAGGGACGGAGGAAGTAGAGGTGGAGGGAGGAGGGATGGAGGAAGTAGAGGTGGAGGGAGGAGGGATGGAGAAATGGAGCAGAGGTGGAGGGAAGAGGGATGGAGGAATGGAGCAGAGGTGGAGGGAGGAGGGATGGAGGAATGGAGCAGAGGTGGAGGGAGGAGGGATGGAGGAATGGAGGAAGCCGAGGTGGAGGGAGGAGGGATGGAGGGAGGAAGGAAGGGGACACAGGGAACAGGACGCAGGGAGCAGGGAAGGCTGCAGGGGGCACTGATGCATATGCAGCAGCCCTGCACTGAGCGGTGCACCCCTGAGCCAGAACAGGACGTGGCTAGAGCAGGGGCAGGGCGCCCCTGCTGTGCTGGGTGTCCCTCCCGAGACAGTGCTGGTCCTCCAGAAGAGCCTTGACTTCAGGTAACTGTCCCTGTCTGCATGTTCAAGAATCAAACTCTCCTCTTGGAAGCCGGTCTGGTCTTGGGGCCGAAACTGATTCTACAGTAAGGGTCTCCTGACCCTCACTTTTCAAGTACCCCTTTAACCTCCAGTGACGTGGAAGACACGAAAATCAGAGCAGTTCCATTCCTAGGCCAAACAGCTGGAGGGAGGGCACAGGGACTGGACCAGCCACACTGCCAGCCGCTCTGAGCAGCCAGAGGACCTCCGGTGTGAACTTCAGACACCAACAACATCATATGCCATCGATGCACGATCCTAACGACAGTATGAAAAACTGTCCCTAGAGGGTGTTTTTACTGGGGAGTTGACATACTTTCTAAATTCAAAAATTAAAATAATTATAACTAGCTCTAAGTTAATATTTAACAAAGTTCTTCTAAACCTAAAATCCTGACTTTAAGAAATTACTACAGACAAATTTAGACTCTCTGAGAGAAAGAAGTACCATCAAAGGGATGAAACACACCACTTTCTGGGGGGACACTGTGGTTCCTAAGAGGAAATACCTACTTGGTCAGACTCCCGGCTCAGTGCTCCGAGAAGCCCGGGGAGTCCCTGAGTAAGGACCGTGACAGTGTCTGATGGCCACACCTGACTTTGCCTTGGAGGTCACCCGCAGACAAGCCGTGGGATTAGGGCTGGTCTGTCGGCTCCCTCTCCACCCCGACCTCCGGGGAGTGAAGCCTCCATGAAAACCCCCTAGGACTGGGGTTCAGGGAGCTCCCAGCTTGGGGAACCCGTGGAGGTGGCGCACCTGGAGGGGGCACAGAAGCCCCACCACCCTCCCCCCGTGCCCTGCCCTCTGCCTCTCCCCATCTAGCTGTTCCTGAGTTCCATCCTTTTCTAATGAGTTGGCCATTTGGTGCGTAAACGGTTTCTCTGAGATCTGTGAGCCACTCTAGCAAATCAACCAAACCGGAGGAGGTCACGGACACCTCGACTGATACAACAGGACTTGTGAATGACCCCTGAAGGGACTGAGCCCCTCGCCCGTGGGGTCTGAGACCATCTCCAGGTGGATGGTGCGTGAATGGAGTCCCCCGCCAGGGTCTGCAGGCGTGTGGGGAGCCTCCACAGCCACCTGGTGACCAGAAGAAGGGTTGGAAGTGAAGCAAAGTGTGTGCAGCTGGGGCCGGGCAGCACAGGAGATGCGAGGGGACGCTCCCCTTAGAGGAAATAAAGCAGGGGTCGGGGTGGACGCCAGCACAGCGCGGGCACAGCAGCCCCGCCAGGAGGGCTCAGCCCTGCCGGCCCCACGGAGCCCCCAGCAAGGCACAGGTGGCTACCTGCTGCAACGCTTTCACGGCATCCCTCTGCTTCTCCAGCTCCTCCCGCAGCTGGGCCGCCTCTCTTCTGCAGCTGACATTCGTCTCCTCCAGACGTTTGATTTCCTCTTCCTGGATTAACATCTGTCTGTCTGCCAACTCTTTCTTTATAACCAACTCATTAAACCCATCTGATTTCTCTCTCAACTGTTCTTGTAACAATTCAACCTAAGACAACAAAAATGCTTGAAAAATACAATAGCGACAACAGTGATCTTCCAAGAAGACACACGCCACGGCTGAGCGAACACCAACCCCTGGTGAGCTTGTCCACGGGGAGACAGCACCAGGAGACGAGTGAGGGATCGTGGTGAGGCTGTGACGCAGGCATTCTCTCAGGAGAGAGAAAACATGAATGCAAAATGTATTAGTAAAATAAAGTTAATTTTGTCAGTAGAAAAGCTACTGGGCAATAAAAGAGAAAAGAGCCAGGCACGGGGGCACCCCGGGCGGGGTCCAGAGTTGAGCCAGGTGAAGGTCAGTCCCAGACGGACTCATACTGCTTGGTCCGCTTGTGTAACTGTCCAGCAAGAGGACAGGTGTGTGGGTGGGAGGGGACCCCACATGGTGCTGTGGGCTCTACCCCTATGGGAGTCACCCTGGGGACCTGGGTGAAGGGTGCATGGACGTCCGTCTGCTTACGCCTGAAAACGAGCCCACGAGCATCTCAAACCAGGCTCAATGTTTGAAAAGAAGCAAATCCACCACAGCCAAGCCAGGCAGGTCCGGCTCCAAGCAGAAAGAAGCAGGAAAAACAAGCAAGAAACAGGCCCGCATGCAACAGCCCTCCCACCGGTGGTGCGGGGCGGGGGCGGGGGGGCACGCCCACCATGCAGACCCACGACAGGCTGTACCTGCTCATACAGCGGCTCCTGCTGTCATTTTCATGTACATGGAAAGAAAAGACCATTCACAAGGTTAAGCCAGCCTACAGAACGGCTGCTGGACAGGTACTGCCAGGGGCGTGCTTACTTACGTCGCTGGCGCGGGGGCCCCGGGGCCGTGGCCGGGTCGCCTGTTGGAGCTGCTCCTCCAGCCTCTGGATCTCCCGCTGGAACTCCTCCCGCTCGTGCTCCCTGTCAACAGCCTGCTCCTGTGGAGAGAGCAGCAGTTGGCTTGGACGTCTCAGACGCGCTGGCGGGATAGCACCTCTCCCTCCACAGGGAAGGGGGAGGGCATGAGGTCGGGCGAGGAGACCGCCTGCTCAGATGCTGACTGCCCAGCGGGCCTCTCACACTGCAGCCAGCCCTGCTCTTCCACACATGTGTCCACTAGCCAGGAAGTGGGCTCCCAGTCACAGGCACTCCGTGAACGGAGCTAAATGAAGGGGGGACCCTGCAGGTGCAATGAGAGGGCACCTGGGGAATGTGGACGGAAAGAACAGCCACGGGGGGGGGAGCCTAGGGAACGTGGACAGAAAGAACAGCCACGGTGGGGGGAGCCTAGGGAACGTGGACGGAAAGAACAGCCACGGGAGGGGGGAGCCTAGGGAACGTGGACGGAAAGAACAGCCACGGCGGGGGGAGCCTAGGGAACGCGGACAGAAAGAACAGCCACGGGGGGGGAGCCTAGGGAACGTGGACAGAAAGAACAGCCACGGGAGGGGGAGCCTAGGGAACGTGGACGGAAAGAACAGCCACGGTGGGGGGAGCCTAGGGAATGTGGACAGAAAGAACAGCCACGGGAGGGGGGAGCCTAGGGAACGTGGACGGAAAGAACAGCCACGGGGGTGGGGAGCCTAGGGAACGTGGACGGAAAGAACAGCCACGGCGGGGGGGGGAGCCTGGGGAACGCAGACAGAACAGCCACGGGGCACCTGGGGAACGTGGACAGAAAGAACAGCCACGGGGCGCCCGGCTGGCTCAGTCAGTTAGGCATGGTGTCTGCCTTCAGCTCAGGTCATGATCCCAGGGTCCTGGGGTTGAGCCCCACGTCGGGATCCCTGCTCAGCAGGGACCCTGCTTCTCCCTCTCACTCCTCCCCCTGCTTGTGCTCTCTCTTGCTCTCAAATAAATAAATAAAATCAGAAAGAAAGAGAAAGAGAGAAGAAGAGAGAGAGAGAAGGAACGAAAGAACAAAAGAACGAAAGAAAGAAAGAACAGACAGACAGCAGACAGCTCAGGCCTGACTGGGGAGGAGGGCTGGGCACGCAGGGCCTGCAATGTGGGCTGTCGGAGGGCCCTCCAGGCCACTCACAGGAACATGTCGACAACCCCCAAGACATGCACGGAGAAGCAAAGGGACCACAACAACCTGGCCGTGAATCAGCCCTAACGCTGTGTCACGGAAGCTCACACTACAAAGATGACTTCCAGGGACGCAAATAAAACGGAGTCAAGATGCTTACGTCCATGAACTGGCGCTGGCTCCGCAGGTGCTTGTCCAGAGCCACCATCTGCTGCTTCAGCGAAGAGAGCTCCTCAGCCTGCTTGGCACACGCTTCATGCCGGGACAGCTGCTCCTCCAGCTCAGCCTCGAAAACCTTCATCTGGGAAAGCAGAGCTGCGCGGTCTCTCTCGGACTGCTTCCTGGCCTCCGACTGCTCCTGCGTCAGACATTCCACTTCCCTACGAAGAGCTAAAGATACAAAGGAAAAGGAAGAAGAGCCCCGCGGATCAGGGAGGGTACTGGGCTAAAGCAGAGGCATGACACATGCACGACAGGTGCCCCACACGACAGGGCCCTCCGGGAAGAGAGCACACACATGTCCAGCCTCCCTGGCAGCCCCAGCCCAAAGCCTGGCCAGGGGGCAGGGGTGCAGTGTCCCCAAGGCTTCCAGACCCCAACCCACGGAAACAAGGTGACACCTCCGGGGAAGAACATGCACTTGCAAGCCAGTGTGAGCCTGTGTCCTGTCCGACACTAAGCCCACACCCTAACAGCCAGCATTTAGCCAAATACCCACTGAAAATAAAGTCAAGTACTTCAGAAGGAAGAAAAAAATATATAAATCTTTTAAATTAAGATTGCCTAAAATAAAAAACTTTAAAGTCCGAGAAGACTGTATCATGGTATTTCCAAAAGACACATCTGTTAATTTTCTAGGAATTACGTTACATAGGTTCTCCAGTATGGAAGAAATATATAGCTTAAAACTTCCATCAGAGAGAACACGAGCCTCGATGTATAATGTGCTCCCTCCTTGTGCACCCAGGGCTGTGACAGCATCTCGGAGGAAAAGGGTCCAGCCATCAGTATGTCAAAAGCCAATCTAAAATTAACTGGATGATAAGGCCATAACCCAAATAGAAACTGTAAATTCATAAGCATCTATAATAAAAGGAGGCTTGCCTCTGATGAATCCTCAAGTGTTCAAACTATCCCCAAACTGAAATGCTAATTTCTTGTTTTAATTACATCTTACTAGCTTTCAAAACTCCTTTTGTTTTATAAAAATCCGTCCATCTTTTATGCCAAACTACTGTCACCACTAATAGAACATTCCCAATTGATTCTCATGCTAGTAAGTCAGCACCGAGGGTAAATTACTTTAAACATGCAGTTAGAACAAGGTCATTCCCACCCCTGGAGCCACCCAGACAGCACCATCCTCAGGGCCACATGCTGGACGAAGGGCACCCAACACAGCACACGTGGCCCCATGCAGGTGGCACTGAGGGGAAGGTGTCATGTGGCCATTCAGGCCACGCTGAGGGCCACCTACGAAGTCGGAGAGGCCCAGGAGCTCCACTCGGGGCCCCTGAGCCCCTCCCTCAAGACTTCCGGGGCCCCCAGAGGTGGCCCCCGGCCCAGGGCAACGCATCTACCACCAGACGTGGCTCCCTGGCAAAGCTGCACAGGCCGTAGCTCAGTAACCACAGAGCATCACTAGACAAATGCTTGTGCATGTTCATGTATCAATTCAGAAGATTAAAGTTGGTATTTTTGTTAAAGTTTGCCACAAAAGCCTTGAAGTATTTTTCCTCTTTAGTAAAAAACTGGGGCAATCTGGTGCAGACATCGCTCGTCTCACACAGCAATCACTGGACTGAGTCTACAAACCTGAGTCCTCGTGTGCTATGGGAACAGGAATGCCTATGAATGAAAACACAGCATTTTCAGACGTGGAGACAGAAAGTTAGTCAGCAGGATTCCAGGGCACGTCTGTGGTCCTGGACAGTCTCGAACATCCACGCTTTTCCGTAACGCCACCCCGATGGTCTGAACATCTGTGTCCCCCCAACATCCGTACATTGAGCCTCACAAATGGGATCTGAGCCTTCCCAGAGGCCCCAGAGAGCGCCCAGCCCCTTCTGCATGAAAGCACACAGCCAAGAGGCTGGCGCTCATCAGAGGGCAGCGTGCCAGCGCCTTTATCGTGGACTTGCACCTCCAGGACGGAGGGCACAAGTGTCCGTTGGTTGCACCCATCTGCACTATTCTGTGAGGGCAGCCCAGGCAGACTAGTTGCCTTTGGGTTGCAGCAGGTCCTGGATGCCAAAGAATATGGCACTGACTTTTAAAGGAGACAAAAACCCCACATGCAATAGAAGGCACTGCCCTGAAAACAGCCACGAAACATGCCACACACCTGCAAACAGGCGAGGCAGAGCTGAATTTCCCCACAAGGTGCAAGGACTTCCAAAAGCTCTTAGAAAGTTGGTCAACATTCACGAGGACCCCAGGCAGAATCAGGACCACACCCTGGACCGTAGCTGGGGAAGCCCGTGGTCAGGCAACGTCAGGAGGTGCTGTGCAGATGGGCAGCATTTTATTTGTTTATTTTTAAAGATTTACTTATTTGAGAGAGATGGGGAGAGAGAGAATGCGCACACATGTGCGTGAGTGTGAGCAGGGGGAGGGGCAGAAGGAGAGAAGCAGACTCCCCGCTGAGCATGGAGCCCAACGCGGGGCTCGATCTCACCACCCTGAGATCCTGACCTGAGCCGAAACCAAGAGTCTGATGCCTACACGCCCACCAGGCACCCTGGACAGAATTTTAAACAACGTAAGCATGCGTGAGTCCTGAAATGGAAGCACAGACTTGTGTGGGTGGGTGAAAGACGAGGAAGAGAGATCAGAGAAGAAATTCAGCTGGAGCAAACAACGTAAGAAGAAAGCCAACCAAGGAGCCCAGAGGACCGCAGAGGAGTGACAAAGGGAAGCAGCAAAGACTGGCCTCGCTGTCACTTCTGCCCAGGAGTCCCAGGGCTCTGGGCGCAGGGGCAACCAGAGACGCAGAAGGGCAGCTGTGTCCACAGCCTCGGGAAGACATGCAGGAGGAGTCAGGCCCAGGCATGGCGGAGCCGCTGGGGATGCACCTCACAGAGGTAGGGCCACTCAGGCCTCAGGGAGTGAAGATGAGGCTGCTCCCAGCTCCGGGCTGTGCCGCTGCTCAGCGGCTCAGGCCCCAGCTCTAAAGTCCTCACACTCCGAAAGTACACACGTTTACAGTGGTAAACTCAGTGGATGGGGTGTGGGTCCGGCCACCCCACAGACCCTCAGGCTGGGGCAGTAACAGCCAAGAATGAGCAGAAGGGGTCCTGAGCAAGGCACAGAATCCACAGAGCACACGTGCTCGCTCACCCCCACACACGTGCCTGCTCACACTCCCGTGCTCACTCTCACACAGGTGCACACCCACATTCGGAGGTGCACACCCCACACACGTGCTCACTCACATAGGTGCACACCCACACACACGTGCTCACTCAGGTGCACACGCATACTCACGTGCTCACTCACACAGGTGCACGCCCACACTCACAGGTGCACACCCACACTCGGAGGTGCACATCCCCACACACGTGCTCACTCACACAGGTGCACGCCCACACTCGGAGGTGCACACCCCCACACACGTGCTCACTCACACAGGTGCACACCCACACTCATAGGTGCACACCCACACTCGGAGATGCACACCCACACTCACATGCTCACTCTCACACAGGTGCACGCCCACACTCGTGCTCACTCACATAGGTGCACACCCACTCACATGCTCACACAGGTGCACGCCCACATTCTCAGGTGCATGCCCACACGCACGTGCTCACTCACACAGGTGCACGCCCACACTCACATGCTCTCACACAGGTGCACACCCACACAGGTGCACACCCACACTCACATGCTCACTCTCACACAGGTGCACACCCACACTCGTGCTCACTCACACAAGTGCACGCCCACACTCACGTGCTCACTCTCACACAGGTGCACGCCCACACGTGCTCACACAGGAACATGCCCACACTTGTGCTCATACAGGCTCACACGTAGGCTTGCTCTCACACAGGTGCACACCCACTCACACATTCACACACACAGGTGCATGCCCAGGCTCACAGGCTCGCTCACACAGATGCTTGCTAACGCAACTGCCCACGTGCACACATGCTCTCACGCATGAATGGAGCCTCGCTTGACACCAGGGTGGCTGGGCACCAGGCAGAGACGAGAGCAGAGGAGAACAGGACAGGCTCAGTGCTGGGGACACAAGACACTGGCATGAACAAGGAAGGAGCAAGCACAGAAGGAGACCTGGACGCACAGCTTACGGTCAGCAGAGGAAAGTCCCTTCCACCCAGAGAGACACGGGAAGGAGAACAGGTCACCAGAAGAGCGCAGGTGGACCGAGAGGCTGCGGGCACAGCCACAAAACACAATAGGAGACACCACACATCAGCTTCTCAGAAGTCATGTTAACATGAGATCCACAAGAGACACAATTGAAGGGGAAAGAGATTTAAAATAAAGGGTGAAAATGACACACAAGAGAAAAAACAAAGCCGAGTTAAGTTTTCAACATCCCTCAAAAAATGGAAAAGGAACAGAGATACGTATAGGTAGACAGATGTTATCAAAAGACAGCCAAGCAAGAAGAGGTCTGGAATGATTACACGCAGACCTTCTGGAACATCCCACGTGGGTGGAAACCAAGAGCCACTGACAACTCACTCTGCCTCAAGAAACCACGGCCATGGGACCTGCCTCTTAGCACAAGTAAGCGCCCACCCAAGAGAGTTCACAGGACGAAGAAGGCCAGAAAGAATAAACACAAGGCCAAAAACCAATGAGTGGAAGACAAAGAAAATGGCGATGATCAGCAACCCCAAGGGCTGGTTGTATATTGAGGGAAATTAAAAAGAAAGAAAAATGACTTTCCCAACTTGTTCAGGATGGCACAAAAACGGCTTAAGGCTGTCCCACAAAGGAGACCTGTGCACTACTACCTATCTGAGCCAGAACCCAGGAGGCAGGGGCGGCCCGCTCCAGGCTTGTGGAAGCATGGGGACACGCACCAAAGCTGGCCGGGGTGAGGGCAGGTGGGGAGAGAAGCAGGGGAGAAGCCAAGGGTTCTGGGGAACCCACGCAGAGCCGCTTCTTCCAGTTCTGCCCGAGGACACTGCCACCTGCCAACTCAACAACCTGAACTCTTCACATTTTGACTGTTCACACTTGAAATGTTTTAAATATAAAACGTCTAATTACCTGAAATCACAACGAACTTTCGTTACAACTATGTTTTCCTACTTAAGGTTAATGTTAAACAATTTTTTAAAATTTTAAATAAAAATTCTAAATAGCCCCCATTTTCCCACAGTCTTGGCTATTTGCCTCAAACAGTGAAAAGCTCTTGTACTGACAACAACGGTGTTTTCAGTAGGCTCCTGTTTGCCAGAAGTGATTCTGACCTCACACAGCTAAGAGCGCTCAGTGGCCACCAGGACAACCAGCCTCACGGAGTAGCAATGCGGGGGGCGCTGCGCCAGCCGGCACGCACAAGGCCCCTCAGCGCAGGGCCCCTGCCTTCCTTCCTCTGCCCTCCACCAGAGCGAGCGTCGGCAGAAGGCATCAAGACTGCTGCCCCTGGTCCCACCCTCCGCAGCTCCCGCCTCCGACCCCGGAGCCGGCAGTTCTTACCAGCTTCTCTCTCTTCCGCTTCTGCGGCCAAGGCCTCCTTTTGGGTCCACAGGGCAGAGTTCTCCTCCTTCAGCTCTGCCTGCTGCTGGGTCGTCCGCTGCAGCTGCTGCCTCAGGCTCTCCAGCTCGACAGCGAGGCCCCGCTCGGCCGTCTCCTTCTGGCCCAGAGCCTCCTGCAGGCTGGCCTTCTCCACCTTGAACCCTTCGATGATGCCTGAGGAGACGGGGACAGACCCAGCTGCTGAGGCCTTGCTGGAGGAGCAAAATGATGGGCCAGACGACGGCATCCCAGCCCCAGCAAGATGTCAGCCATGGGACGTGAGAGCTGAGTGGTCACGCCCGTGTCCCGTTCCTGGATGGACGGCACAGGGCTGGTGCACCCCAGAGGTGCGGGAGCCACTGGACAAGGTGACACGCCTTAGAGTGGCCACGTACAAGACACCCCACACCACGAGTGCACAACACCAGCAGTGTAGGGGTCAGAGGGGCCAGGAATGTCACTTTCTGGGGCACCCACCGCCTGAGAAGGGAGGACCGACACTCTCGTCTCACCACACGAGGCAAGGCCGAGGCTGTCAGCCCAGGGAGCGGCGCTACTGCGCTTGTAAGCCGTTTCACTGAGGCCTCCCACCATGCCTTATTTTAGTTTGACATTTTGCTTTTAAAACCTCTGCTAACACCTGCCCTTCCCTCGTGCCTCTGGCCTGTGTGGCCCCTGCAGCCCTTCCCCGGCCGCGGCCGGCGCTCACCCTGCGCCTGGTGCAGCTCCAGCGTCAGCCGCGTGCGGGCCACGTTCTCCTCATCCAGGCGCTCCAGTAACTCCTGGTGCTTTCTAACAAACTGCGCAGTCTCCTCGTTCTTACAGCTAAATTCCTTCTCAAAACGAGAATGAATCTGACGTGCTTCCTCCAGCTGTTAAAACACATTTGAGAACCGGAACTGCACATTAAAATAAAGCTGACGTTAACACTAACAGAATTAGAATTCTGGCACAAGTAGAATTCTGACAAAACCACAGATAACCTGTAAGAAACGATACTGATGTTCAATATTGTGTCACAATTACTGGACAAATTTGCTCATTCCACAATTTTCAAGAAGGAAAAACCCTGTACACAAACACATGCGACGCTGCACAGAAAATTTACATGTTCGTGAACTATCGAAATAAAGCTGTTAAGGAGAAGGTTGCGTTTCGAAGGTCACAGAACCTGTCCACTGAGATCCTAGAACCTGGGCAGGGATGACCACCTGGCACTCTACAGGTGGAGGAGGAGATGGGAGGCCACGGGTGGGAGGACAGGCTCCTTGGGCCGGTCACCACAGCGGGCAGGGGGCCTGACACGTCTTTACCACCCGCAGACCCTCCCTGACTCAGTCACCACAAGGCCCCTCCGGGCCCCCTCCGATGCCACCCAGGCCTGGTTCAGTCCCAGGCCCCAGTCTCACCTTCCTCCCCGGCAGCTGCACCCGCCCTGCCCAGCCCGAGGCTCCCCACCGCCGACAGGCTGGGGGCCCAGACGAACCTCTGAATTCAAACACCTCCACCCAGCCGTGCCGACAGACACCTGAGCACCTACGCTGGGCCTCTCCGCCTCCTTCCCACTTAATGCAACTCCAGCTTCCCCAGACCCTGCCTCTGAGGGCATCTACGGGTTTCCCCTTGAAAACAGCCCCAAGGCTCCCTCTTCTCATACCTTCACCAGGTGGGGAAAACTTACTCAAGGATTTCTGGGATGTAAACAGCAATGTTTTGGCTAAAAATGCTTATTTTCTAATTGGGCTGAATGGGAAAAAGAATCTCCATACTGCTTTTCATACATTCATATTTAAGGTCTTTCCTGTCTAAAATGTTCTAAAAGATTAACAAACATAATTCCCTTTATTACTAGTGATAATCTCTAAACATAAATATATTCAACGTGAAATTAAAATAGCGCAGAGGGTAAAGCAGAGTAAAGGCAAAAGACCGAACCATGTGTCCTTCACCTGACACTCAGCTCTTACTTTCCATTGACAGCAAGCCTACTGCTTCCAAAATTTCGGTTCAGAAAAGACTTCTGCTTAGGAAAAACACACAGGAGAATATCAGTGGTAGTAACAGAAGATCCAAACAAAATGAGAGGAAGGCAGTGCACAACCCAGAACTGATTTTCTGCCCCCAATGCCCAAAGGAGGAGAGAATAGCAAGGGAAGCCAGATCCACCTGGAAAGTGCCAACTCCCCTTCTCACCCTGCAGGTTACAGTCGAGAATCAGAAACATGCATGTGCGGCGCCCAGTGGAGCGCCTGGGAGCTGTGCTATCCTCATCTATCAAGCTTATGCCACCAAACCATTGAACCTATCCACTTATTCAACCCATTATCCTTCTCAGAAAAAGAGAAACACTAACAGGAGCCAAAATAGGGCCATGGACGGACAGCACCCGGAGCCATGTCTCACCTGCCTGGTGGAGTCCAGAGCCAGCTCCAGCAGGCCATCCACCGCCAGGCCAAGGCTCCGGTAAATTCTCCTAATTGGCTGCTCACACTCCAGCGAACTTTCTGGGCTCATGAAAAAGCTTTCACAGATATGACTGCTAATTTCAGCGTCTGAAGACATCTCCACAAATTCAGACAAAGTTTTGTCCAGCTCCAGCAGGGCTGCCTCAGACCCAGGCCACATCTCATCAAGCACTGGTACTGCAAAGTGAGCAAACACAGAAACCTGCATATTCCACGTGGCAAGCAAGCTCACACGACGACAACGACCCATCTCAAGCATCAGCCCCAACAGGGAAGGAGGGCAGCACCCAGTGCCCCAGGCCAGGGGCTGCAGGCACCGGGCTGTCCTGGCACTCACCTGCAGACAGGGCCTGGCCACTGGGCTGCACATCAGGCAGGCCCTCGTCCTCCAGACAGAGCCCCACGCGCTCACCGATCCGGCTCTTCAGGGTGATGGCAGCCTTGAGCATTTCTCCAAATAAACTGAGCAGCCTCCGCAGAGCATCTTGGAGCGCTCTCCTGAACAAAGCACACAGCAGACAGTGGGCTGTCAGCCACGACCCTGACTGTCTGACTCAGACAAGAGGGGCACAGCCCAGAGGGCGGCTCTGCCAACAAGACCAAACCTTTGGGCTGCTGCCCTTGACTTAAAAAAGACGTCATCTTATTGCTAGTTTTAGTGGGTCCCTGTCCCCACTCACAGCCTTCCTGACCCTCAGGAGGACAGTGGGGCACCAACGTGGCCCTGTCCGTCCAGAGCACAGTGACCCTGTCCAGGATATAGCTGGGGGCAAAGCGCTGCAGCCTGCGTGTAAGCTGGAGCTGGTGCAGGGTCCTCACACTGGGGAGACGCCAGGGCCAAGTGGGCAGGAGACAGGCTCATCCACCCCCATCCATTCCCAGGTTCGCATCCCCATCGTGGGCCCGGAACAAGGTCTGCTCCCAACATGGGGACACGTCACTGAACAAAACACACGGGGAGCTGCCCCTTACAGGGCTAAGGCACCAGGGGAGAGACACAGGAAGCAGCGGGGCAGACTATGGAGCATACGGAGAGCTGGGGGCCCAACGGCTCCCTGCTGCTGCCTGGGCCGCCACAGGTGGCGACCGAGACCTGAGGACAGAGGGCAAGGCAGGCACAGGAGAAGGCCCCGTGCGGGCAGTGGGCGGAGGCAGGCGCGAGGATGGCCGCGGGTATGCTGGGTCAGGGAGCGCAGGCGTCAGCTCTCCTCTGAGAAAACATGAGTCCCCCTCAGAGCTGGCCCCGCCTCCTCCTCACACCCCATCCAGGCCAGGATGGCTCCAGTCTCCATGGTGATCCTCAAAATTGCCAAACACTCGTGGGTGTCGGGGCGTCTGCAGCGGCCGCTCGCCCAGCCGGCCACGGTCTCCCAGACACCTGGGATCGCCTGCTCTCTGCCATGTCTCCCCCGTGTGGGGCCAGTGCTCTGTCCTCACCCTGGTGCCTGAGGGTGACGGAGGCGTCAGCACCCAGCCCACGAGCAACTGTAAACAGGTGCTAAAAAGGCTCACAGGCTCTCCGTGGAGAGCTCGGAAACCATGCGGAAGAACTCAAGGAGGTCTAGACAGAGTGAGAAGGATGCTCATTCTCTGCACATCCAGCTCAGGGCTGAGCAAGGCCTGGCTGGCCCAAGCTGGTTTCTCCTGACCCTCAAGGGCACACACGTGCACAGGAGCTGCTGTGGACGGGGTCCGGGGTTTCAGCAGAGAGCAACAGGACTGCTAGGCGCTGCACGCAGACAGTGGACAGAACACGGGGAAAGGGGCCCAGAGAAAGGACTGCACCAGCTGCACCCGCCAACACATGGTGCTGAGCTAGGTGCTCAGACTGTCCTGACGTCGGGTACAAACACACGGGTAACGCCACAGCCCCAGGCACACTCCAGCCCTACACCAAAAGCAGAAATCAAAGTCGGAGACCCCAAAAGAGAGAAGATCTGTATGGTGCCAGAGTAGGGACTTCTTAAATAAGACTCCCAAACAAAGACGACAAAGGGACAGATCAGTACTGGCGCCCACTATAAAAACTTTAAAGGGACATCACATTTACAGCAGGGCCAGGCCAGCGGGGGGAGCGGACCAGCAGGAAGAAGCACCTGGCACGTGGGTCTTTACCAACCCAGTGGGAGGAAAGGCTCTTCCTCTCCCCACCCCATCCCCCCCCATAAAAGTCCAGCCAATGGGAGGCCACCACAGCCAGGCCAACGAGACATTTGCAAAATGTTTGCTACTGGGACGCCAGCTGGTTTCATGCTTAAAAATGATGCGCATTTATAACTAAGTGGACTGACTTAACCAGAAGTTAATTTAGGACTTTGATGGCCATTACGAGAAACTTTTGATCTCCCTAAACTTTTTACTCAAAATTAAATTAAAAAGCCCTGGCTTTTTACCAAAAAAAAAACAAAAACAAAAAACACACACCTCAATGGGATGCCTATTTTAAATGGTATCTTGAGGCTTCCAGATGTTTTCGGGATTGTTTGCTTCTTTACAAAATATTTCTAAACTGAGACAAACTGGGATGCCTGGGTGGCTCAGTCAGTTAAGAGTCTGCCTTCGGCTCAGGTCATGGTCCCAGGATCCTGGGATCGAGCCCCACATCGGGCTCCCTGCTCCGCGGGAAGCCTGCTTCTCCCTCTGCCTGCAGCTCTCCCTACTTGTGCACTCTAATAAATAAATAAAATCTTTAAAAAATATAAATAAAAAAATAAATGAACTGAGGCAAGCAATTAAAAGAAGTCAGAATGGCTTCTGAGGTCTCTTGAGCTTCCGCCTATCCCCTTGCTGGGACGAACTGGTACTGGGGTCCTGCCCCCAGCGCCATTTTCCTCTATTCTCTCTGCCAGGCTTCCTTTTCCTCTGACCTTCTTCCCCCCTCCCTCCTCTCCTCAACCTATTAAAACCTGCCTCTCTAAAGTCTTCTGAGGATCTGCACAGACCTCAAGCTTCTTATGTTCTCTGGACAAGACCAAATTGCAAGCCACAGTTAAAAGAGTTTCCTAAAGTAACTAAGGGCTCCGATAGGTTTGCTGAAGAATTTAGCAGAGTTAGTCAAACTTACCAACCTGGTTTCTCACATTTATATCAGTTAGTCCACATGCTTGTTGGTGAGGGCCACGCCAAACACTGGATAAAACTAGCCCAAAGGAAACATCCCAAGGGGGATTAAGAGAATCTAGCATCAACTTCTGTCAGGATGCTAGAACACACGCTGGAAATCACTGAGCAGGTACGGTAGCTTTTCCTAAGCCTGCTGATTGGGACAAAACTCAGGCTTGTACACAAAAGCCTAATAAACCTCTTCATGACCATTACAATGGACTCCAAATGGTCTTTTGAGACCTTTCTAGTCTTTCTTTAGATGTTGAATCCACCTGGGTAGCATTTAACTCTATTTTTTAACAGGCTGAACTGGGATCTTTCTCTTAAAAAGGACCAGGACAGAATGGGAAACTGCCCACTCTGGATTTGGTGACTATGGCAAACCAGCTGCTTACATCCTACATGAGTCACCTAAAAAACTGCTAAAATCCTCAACTTTCAAATCTGACAAGTAAAGGCCCCTAAACAAAACCAAAAAACTTATAGTTTCTGCTGCTGCAAAGAGCGAGGACCCTGGCGGGCGGGGGGGGAGTATGTGACTCCAGTCACCTCCAGCCCTCTAGCCAGTCTTTAAAAAAAAAAGTTTTATTTATTTATTTGATAGAGCAAGCACGAGAGCAAGAGAGTACAAGCAGGGGGAGGGGTAGAGGGAGAAGCAGGCTCCCCGCCGAGCAGGGAGCCCGATGCGGGGCTCTGCGGGGCTCGATCCCAGAACCCTGGGATCCTGCCCTGAGCCGGAGGCAGATGCTTCACCGACTGCACCACCCAGGCGCCCCTCCAGCCAGCATTTTCTGATGTAGGACAGGACAACCAGGAAAGTCCCTCCTGGCACTGAGGGACAAGACCACTAAATATGAAACACCTGACTCTTGATCAGCAATGCTTTCAAGGAAAGATCCTGCTCAAAAGGGGCAAGTTGTAAAAATTAAAAGAAAACCCGATTAGAATGGGTCAGGAAGCCAGCAGGGGGAGCTCTCAAGCCCTACTGGCCGCAGACCTGTCAGCAAGAGGCACGTCCACCAGATTCCACATTACTATCCCGACAGGAGGAAGCACGTTTCCTTCCGCCCAGCAACAGCTTAGCCAATGGGAGCCAATCACAACTCAGCCAAGAAGAAACCACTATGCTTTCAACACCCAGTTTACCGCAATGGACTTTCTGTTTACAACAGTCCCAGCCCCCCACCCCCCCATAAAAGAGCTTCCTCGCCGCTCTCCAGACTCGCTCCCGGTGATGCACCAGCCAGTGTGTCCTGGGCTGCGATTCCGTTATTCCTGAATAAGCCCACCTGTTGCTGGGAAAACAAACGAACAAAAACCTGCCAATTTAATTTTAAGGTTAACACCACATTATAGCATCACATTTTATAGTCTGGCAAAATGTGAAGATTTGGCAAAGTGAGCGGCGGGTATATAGGCATCTTACATCACTCAGTACTTTTCTTGATGTTTAAAGTCTTTTTGAATGAGAAGGACGTGGCACAGGGTCCCGTCCTGCCTGGCATCTCTGTGCGCTAGGGCGGAGGTGACAGAGGAGTGTGACTGACCTTTCGCGGGCAGACAGGTCCATGTCAGACTTGAGCATCGAGATGAGATTAGTGCCTTCCTGGTTTTCCCTTTCACGTCTTTGCTGTAGCTTCTCCAGTTCGGAACGGCACTCTTCCACCTCGTGACTTAAGAGTAAAATCTGGTCTTTCAGCTGTTGAGGAAAAATCGTTACAGCTTTATTTTTAGGAATAAACTTCTGTAAGAAACACTCATCATCCCAGTTAACAAAAATATGGCAAAGTATGACAGTGGTTAAAGGTGAAAATTACTAATAGAGTACCCCCACCCCCACCATTATTCATTGCCTACAAAAACAGAATACATAAGCATTCTAGCCTGCCCCAGGCACCAGGGGAAGGGGCAAATTCACCAGACATTATTCTCATGAATAAGAACTCAAAATCTCTTTTATGGTCATTTAGAATAAATATTAGTTTCCAGGCAAGTGAAGATCATGCTTATATATTTCTCCTTGAAAAAAAGAGCCAAGAGAGGCGCGTGGGTGGTGCAGTCAGTTGAGCATCCAACTTGGTTTCGGCTCAGGTCGTGATCTCAGGGTCCTGGGACAGAGCCCCAGTCAGGCTCTGTGCTCGGCATGGAGGCTGCTTGAGATTCTCTCTCTCCCTCTGCCCCTCCTACTCGTGCGTGCACTAACTAAACAAATCTTAAAAAAAAAAAAAAAAAGTCAACAATCATGGGGTCTCAGTGGGCTGGTCGGCTGGGTGGCACCAGCTGCCCTGGGCATCCCTGGCTACCATGGGCTCCCCAGGCTCCTGAGCATTGACCACAGGTCACTGTGGTTTTGTCACGCAGCTTAGTGAAATGACAAGTGTGTCTTCCCAGCAACAGAGTGACCTGAGCCCACTGCCAACCACCGTGATTTTTCAGGGCTGGTTGAGTTTACTGACAAGAACATGGGCATCTTGTTTTACGTTAAACACCGCCAAGGTGTGATGCAGGGGAAGAAGGAGAGCTATGCTTAACTCTAATAAAAAAGTCCCCTGTGTTCCTGTGGGTGTTTGCTGTGATTAACAGAAACTTTCTGCAGAATCAGCTACATGTAATCTTGTTGCTAATGGGCTGTTACCCCACTTGCGCCGGCACCCCGTGCTTCACTATAGTGGCAGCAGTAGCCAAAGACTGAGTGGTTCATGGAGACAGATCTCTCAGAGGCTGCAGCTAATTCCAGCTATTTCTGAGCTGAGCTTTTGACTTACTGCTACTCTAGCCTTCCTGGTGGCACCTTCTCTCCTAGAACATTCATACTTCAAAGGCAAAGCTTTAAAACCAGAGCCAGTCAATTCTAGTTACCGATGCAACACACATCCTGTATTTCTTCCAATGGCGCCCCTGGCACGACGCCATGTTCTAGAACTGGGAAGCTCAGTCTGCTCTGATCCTGTGGTCTGGGGGGACTCGATGATTTGCGTTGTTAGGACTTTTGAGCCTTTTCATTTGATTACATTTCTGGGTCTGATGTTAGGCTAAAGGAAATCCAGGAATATTTAATGTTCGATATTTAATGCAACTGGCCCAGCAACATTAAAGGGGATTCCTGACGCCAACGCTGGAGGCTGCGGGCTAGACGTTCTGCACTGTTTTTATACATGTATTCATATTCTCTTACCACCTCAGACTCAGACACAAGGCCTTTTAAATGGAGATTTAAAAAACTACTGCCATTTATGTAAAATAATGTACTGTGACCAAGTTGCTTTAAATGGAAACATGACAGGGCATGACTGCACACACATGCAGCAGAGAGCCAGGCAGACCGTGTGCCTGTCCCACATCGCTGTCAAGAATCAAGAACAATGGGTGCTCACAGCTGCTGTGGGCAGTGGACCAGCCAATGAGTGACATGCCTAACACCTCTAGCTCAGGATCAGACAGGTGGAGCCCAAAAGCAAGTGGACTACAAGTGGAAAAGCCGTGTGCCTGGGGCACACCCAGCTGGCATGGACATCTTTTCATCCAGGAGCAGGAAAAGCAGGTTTGCATGGGGCAGAAAATCGGTAAGAGAATACCAGAGTGGCACCCATAAAACGTTAGAAAGTACAAAAAAGAAACAAAGACCAGACAAAATAAGAGTGTAATTTTGAAACCCCTTCTTACAGGAACGAAAGCAAACTGTAAACATAATTTCAGTGCTATGCTTGTAGGGAAATTATAAACCACTGGTTATGTCACACCAAGATGGCAAACAAGGACCAAAAACAAACAAAAGAGAAGATGAACAGTGAACCCAAATGCTGCCAGCACAGGAAACCGGTGCGTAGATGGCTCCAGGCATGGCTTGGCCTCAGCTGGTGGGGTGTGAACAGACGGCAGATTCCTGCCAGATGCGGAGCACGGAGCCCCATTCCCACATCGGCTGCGGGGTGAGGTAGCCACACCTGTGACGGCCAGCAGTTTACAGGCCACCACAGTGGCTGGTCCCAATCTTTGAGTCTATGGGACAGACTTTCCCTCTGCCCGTCCTGCTCCCTCCCTTTCACAAGAAAGTGCATGGTGACTGGGGAAAAAAACCTAATAGATACACCTCTAGCAACACTGATCAAAAAAGAGAGAAGTACAAATAAACATCTTGACAAAACGTTTTTTCTGGGGGCGCTTGGGTGGCTCAGTCGTTAAGCGTCTGCCTTCAGCTTGGGTCATGATCCCGGGATCCTGGGATTGAGTCCCGCATCGGGCTCCGTGCTCTGCGGGAAGCCTGCTTCTCCCTCTCCCTCTACTGCTCCCCCTGCTTGTGCTCTCTCTCTCACTCACTATCTCTCTCTCTGTCAAGTAAGTTAATAAAATCTTAAAAAGAAAAAAAAAGAAAGAAAGAAAAGGAAACATGATTATTACAATCCTGAAAGGTCTACATTGTGGGACTATCTCAAAAAACAGTATAAATAGGGGCGCCTGGCTGGCTCAGCTGGTAGAGCATATGACTCTTGATCTTAGGGTCATGAGTTCAAGCCCCACATTGTGTGTGGAGCCCACTTGAAAAAAAAAAAAAGAAAATAGTATAAATAATACATCTACACTTACAAAGGAAATAATGAACTCAACAACAAAAAACCAAACCCAATTCAAAAACCGTCAAAGGACTTGAACAGACATTTCTTTAAAGACATACAAATGGCCAATAAGCTCATGAAAAGATGCTCCACATCACTCATCATCAGGGAAATGCACATCAAAACCACGATAAGATCGACGAGATCCCACATCACACCCGCTATAGTGGCGATTGTAAACAGAGAAGGCGGCAAATGAGTGCTGGTGAGGGTGTGGAGAAACTGGAACCCTGTGCACAGCTGGAAGGAACCTAGGATGGGGCTTCCGGTGTGAAGACAGTATGGCAACCCCTCAAGACATAGACAGGGTCGCCATATGACCCAGCAATCCTGTTCCTAGATGCACACCCCAGAACTGACAGCAGGGACTGCAACAGTACTTGTACACATAGTAACATTATTCATAACAGCCAAGAGAGAGAAACAAACATCTAGAGGTCTATCGGCAGATAAATCCGCAAAGAGAGAAATACAATGTGGTATCTCTACGCTACGTAACGGAGTATTTATTATTCAGCCACAAAAAACCAAGCTTTGACCCACACTCTGACATGCATGGACCCCACAGACATTACGCTGAGTGAAATAAACCAGACACAAGAGGACAAATGTTGTATGATCCCACTTACAGGAGGTCCCGGAAGTGGTCAAATTCACCGAGGCACAAAGTAGAAGAGTGGGTGCCAGGGGCTGGAGGGAGGGAGATGGGGAGCTAGGGTGTGATGGGGGTAGAGTTTCTGCCTGTGACGATGATGATCTGTTCTAGAAACAGATGGCGGTGATAGTTGCACAACCATGCGAATAGGGTTAATACCACGGAACTGTACACTTAAAAATGATTAAAATGGTAAATTTTGTTATGCATATTTTACCACACACAAAAAAAAGTAACAACAAAGAAAACACATGTGCCACATACCTGCAGAATTTGGTTATTCTTCTCCTGAAGCTGCAGAAACAAAGACTCTTTCTCTTTCTGGTAAAGAGACTGTGCTTGCTCACACTCCAGTCTATGTATCTCCTCCTTTTCATGCAAAGCAACTTTCTTCTTTTCACTTTCAAATTCACCCTGTATAAAAGTACATCATTAACAAAAACAACAAAAATGCCACTAAGCTCTAAAAATTATGCTTGTTCCATTTCTCTGCTGTTTGCTAAACCACAGTTCATTCAACAAATATTTATTGAGTCCATACTGTGCCAAGAGCAGCGATCAAAAGGGACAAAGCGACTACCCACAGTGAACATGTATTCAAATGTGCTCCTCATACAGAACATAAAGAAGACAGCTCGCTACCTTTCCCAAATGATCACATGAAGAAATGATCCATCACCAGGCTAACATGACCATCAGAATCCAAGATATTTAGAAACATAAATGCCTTTGGTTTTAAAACATAAACCCTATTTCTTCCTAAATAATAAAAACTGTTTCTCATAAGGTTCATCTAACAAATTATATTAATGAAATAAGCTTAAAACAAAAGAAAAAAAATACAGAGGCAGCACTTCCAAAATGGCAGAATAAGGACCTCCAAAAATGTGTTCCTCTATAAAAGCACTGAGAACACTGACAAACACTATAAAAATCAGCTTTTTCAGAGCTCTGGAAATTAAGAAAGACTTGTAACAATCCAGAGTTTACTACAAACAAAGTCTGAGTCTCCATCAAAACAGCAAGCTTTGAGGTATTTAAATTTGCCCTAAGGCCATCACTCCAATCTCTGGCATAGCTTTGAAAACAGCGGTCATAAGGGTTGGGGGGACAAAATGGGTTTGGATCTCCCCAAAAGCACCACCCCGCCAACTGTCACTAACTGGCCAATACTGCAGCTCACTGAAAAAGCTCCATTCTCAAAGATGATCTCACAGAGCTCACTCGTCAACAATCCTATTCCCAGGCCATTTATCAAAATCCATCAGCAGCCACTGTTCAACATCACAGTGGCCTGAAACTGATAAAAATGATCACAGTTGGAGTCAATAAGAGAAAAACATAAAACCTAAAAGGAAACACTAGGGGCACCTGGGTGGCTCAGCTGTTAAGTGTCTGCCTTTGGCTCAGGTCATGATCTCAGGGTCCTGGGATCGAGCCCCGCGTCGGGCTCCCTGCTCAGGGGGAAGCCTGCTTCTTCCCCTCTCTCTCTCTCTCTCTCTCTCTCCCCCACTGCCCCCACCCCCACTGCCTGTTCTCTCTCTCTCAAATAAATTAAAACAAAACACTAGAGAATGAGATGTCAATAGGGAGCTTTGAAAGGCTCCAACATATTCCTGGGAATTTAGAAAGCAGGTATAGGGCTGTGTACTTATCAAGGAAAACCTGAGAAGGCTCTAAGAGTTCACTCCTTGTTTACCTCACACACACACAAAGTGAAAGCGCTAAGTAAGAGAAAGCATGCCCCAACCAGAGCCCTTCAAGAAGGAGAGTAGAAAGCAGAACTAAAGAGAGCTTCTGGAGCTGAGAAGTACAATTACTGAAATGAAAAATTCATTAGAGAGGCTCAGCAGTACATCTGAATGGGCAGAAGAATCAGCAAATATGAAGACAGATCAAATAAGATTATTCAGTGTGGAAAAGAAAAAGAAAAAAGAACAAAGAACAGTGAATAGAAAGGCGCCCGGGTGGCTCAGTTGGTTAAGTGTCCAACTCTGGATTTCAGCTCAGGCCATGATCTCAGAGATTCGCTCTCTCCCTCTGCTCGCTCGCTCTCTCCACCTCTCTCTAAATAAATAAATAAAATATTTAAAAAGAAAGAAACAGAGAGAGAGAGAAAGAAAGAAAAGTAAACAGAGCTTCCAAGGTCTGTGGGACACCCTCAAAGACCAACATACACATAATGGGAGTCACAGAGGAGAGGAGAAACGAACAGGGTAGAAAGACTGCTTGATGCTATTAATGGCCAAAAACCACAACTTGGATGAAAATAACACAAGAAGCCCAACTAACCCCAGGTAGGATAAACTCAAAGAGATCCACCCCAAGACACATCCCAATTAAACTGTCAAAGACTAAGGAAAAGAATCTTGAAGGCAGCAAGAAAAGTGACTCAACACAAGCCACCCCCAAGGTATTATCAACAGCTAGCTTCTCAGAAACCACAGAGGACAAAAGGCACTAGGGTGATATATTCAGTGCTGGAAGAAAAAGACTTAACCAAGAATTCGATATCCAGGAAACTATCTTTCCAAAATGAGGGAGAAATTAAAACATTCCCAGGTAAATGAAAACTGAGAGAATTCATTACTAACAGGCCTGCCCTGAAGAAATGCCAAAGGGGTCCTCAGGCTAAAGTGAATGGGCACTAGACATGAATTGGAATCCACATGAAGGAATGAAGAATGTGGTAAAGGTGACTGAACAAGTAAACTGAAAGACAAAATAAACATTAATTTTCGTAATTTTTTTCTTCTATCTGATTTAGAAGAAACTGAATAAATCAATAAGCGTAAGCTGTATATAACCGTAGTCTGTATGACGATATTAGCACAAGGGACAGAGAAGGGAATGAGGCTACATAGGAGAACAGATCTGTAAACTATTAAAATTAAGATGGTATTAATCTGAACTATACTGTTATAAAGTGTTCACTGTAATCCCCAGGGCAGGCACTAAGAAAATAATTTTAAAAATACATAGAAAAATAAACATCAAGGAAATTAAAATGAAAGGAAGGCAGTAATGGAAAACTAGAAAAATAAAAGAGATAAAAGATACATCAAAAGCTAACAGCAAGTACTGACACACGCTACAACATCTATAAACCTAGAAAACATTGTGCTGAAAGAAATCGCACGTATTGTATGATTCCACGTCTATAAGGTCCAGAAAAGGGAAACCCACAGAAACAGAAAGATTAGTGCTGCCAGGGGCTGGGGGATGGGAGAGGCAGCTAAGGGGTGGGGAGTTCTTTTGGTGGTGAGGTGAATGTTCTGGAAGTAGATAGCAGTGACAGTTGTGCAACCCAGTGAATACACTAAAAAACCACTGAAGTGTCTGCTTAACAAGAGTGATTTTTATGGTATGTAAATTGTATCTCAATAAAGTTGTTAAAAAAACAAAATAAAGCTACATTAAAAATCATAAGAGTGGGTGTGGAGTGTTCACTCATCCTGCACATTTCTCCATGAAAACAGACTACTTGAAGCAAGAAGAGCGGTGATGCGGGTGCTGAGTCACAAAAGCACAGCAATAAGACCCAGACTTTCTCAGGTTTAAAATACTTGACAACTTCTTAGTGGAAAAGGTATGATAACCATCCAATTTAAATAGAAAAAAATGAATGAAAAAGTTGCCTAGCAATGACAATATTTTGTTTTCACTTTGCGTGCCACCACTAATTTAGAGTGAAATTCCTCACTGACTTGCAGATGAGAAAGGACAGCAGTGACAGGTCCGGCCGTGCGATCTGCCTCTCTGGCAATGCTTCCGACCGGCACTTCTCCTCCCCCTGCAGCTCGGCCAGAAGAGCTGGGTGCTGGGCCCCAGCCTCTGCAGGAGCCAGGGTACCCTGCTTGAACGAGGAGGCAGAGTCAACACTGAGCCCCTCCTCCATACAGACCTACCTGTAAATAATGGATCACCTTCACTCCATGAGCCTTCACTGTGAGGACACCCAGGACTCGGGCGACAGCTTACAGAAAACTCTGACTCACAATCATCAGGAGACGGGGCATGCATGGCACAACACTAAAAGCATACTTTCAAGTTACAGACACTACTTCTGAATTAACATAAATTATTTTTATAAACTTTCTCTCCTGAAATAAATTTAACTCCAAAACCTTTAAAAAGAAGCATCAAGTAAAAGTCCCAAGTTATCACACACTGCAAAGTTTCTGAAGTACTTGAATTACCACATTTACACCACAATTCCCCTTCTAGGGATGCTAATCCTCCGACTGTCCGCCACAAAGTGTGGGTGAATACAGGAAAAAGCCTCAACACCAGCAGGCACCACAGACCAGCAGGGCCAAGGCCAAGGGTCAGGAACCATACCGCCTTTCCCCAAAAAACAGACCTCAGGGAATACTGCCGCCACTGTGCAGGACACTGGGAAATGGAAGAAACCATCAATGTCCAAGAAGAGGAAACCACACCCCCCGCCCCCATCACGCGATAAACTATGACTGATTTGGGAAACAGAGGCAGAAGAAAATTTATTACATTTCCTTACTCCCTGCAGCCCACTGACAAGTCCTTGAAACAGGCAGAGTGACCTTCCTCTAGGGACTCAACTGCCTCCATGTTAATACTTTGCTCAGGGCAAAAGGCAATCCTAGCCTGACTCCCCCCTCCAGGATCCTGTGAGTCTACTTTAATGTATAAAAATTCCTCCGGAAACTTCCTCTATCTCTAAACCCCCCAAGATAGGTGTTGACAATCATCCTCCAAGCATATGGCCCACTGATGTACATCTGAAAGGTCTCATGACTCAGGTTTTATTAGATGGTAATAAAGAACCTTTTCCCAACAACAGCTAGCCCCCTCAAGGTCCTGGAAACCTTGCTCCCAAATTCCTTAGAGACTTAAGCTCTCCTTAACCCCCTCCCAACTTGAAAGTATATAACAGGCCATTCCTCATGACCCCGGTTCAGCTCTTTCTGCCCATGGGTCCCGTCCCCGTGCTCTAATAAAACCACCTTTGTGCACCAAAGACATCTCAAGAATTCCTTCTTGGCCGTCGGCTTCGGACCCTAACGTTCTTTCCTACATCATGATTTAACAATCCAACTGGAAATGGAACCCCAGTTCCTTGGGCCCTGGGACCCTGGCACAGGCATTGGGGTGCTCCCCCCCCCAGCACCTTCAGGGAGTGGTCACGATGGCAAACCCTGCATGCTCACTCTGCCCACTAAATGCTCTGGTTAAGATGTAGGAGGATTAAATACACAGCTCTTGGGAAACTTTCGAGCCACAGATCACTTTCTTTAGGCAACAATCTTTCACAGAAGCAAACTTCTGTTTGAGGTCAGGTAGGAGTCCAAAAGCACCCCCGCCCCCGCATACCCTTGAGAAACCCCCACCCCAAGTCCTAGGGCACCTGTGACCAGCAGGCTCCAGCCCTCTCT